TTACCCTTACTTTTATCGATTGTATTGTTTTGCAAAGCTTGAGCTACGGGCTGGGGGTTGTTGAGGGAGGTAGGTGAGCATGCTGATTACTAACACAGCGGGAATAGGGAATTGCACGTAAAAGTGTGCACAAGGAAAGGCTGTACAGGGAAAAAAAATGGCATCCTATCAAAGTGTTTGGACAGGGCCGGGCGGAGCCGGGTAAACCAGCTAGTATATATTAGGTCATTCCGAAAGTACTTTCGCTTTTTTCAAACGGACGCCATATTTGATGGAACAAAGGTTTCTAAGAGGTTTCGGTAGCATCCAATGCAGCATTTCATCCTCTATCTAACAGTAATAAAACCGTTGCAGCGCAGTCATTGAGCTTTCAGAAAATAGCTAAAATCTTCGACCGTTGCTTTTTGAGATAATCAAGTTTCACAATTTTTTGAAACTTTCATATCAATCCTCAGAAATAGTTCAAGCAACGATCCGATAGAGCAAACCTTATAGAACACAGCACAACTTTTTTCTCTGTTTAATATCTCGTCGTAATTTTTTGAAAGATTTTTTACCAAAACCATCGGATTCAGGCCTTCGTCAGCCACAATCGCAACAATCGCAACAAACACCAATGAATTTTCGGGATTTGAAACTTCCAAGGTGGTATATCACTTAATATTGATTTTACAAAGCAAAAGATAGTTCGCGGATTTTAAATATCATATTTCGAGTTTTTCGGGTACGCTTACCCGAAAAACTCGAAATATGATATTTAAAATCCGCGAACTATCTTATGCTTTGTAAAATCAATATTAAGTGATATACCACCTTGGAAGTTTCAAATCCCGAAAATTCATTGGTGTTTGTTGCGATTGTTGCGATTGTGGCTGACGAAGGCCTGAATCCGATGGTTTTGGTAAAAAATCTTTCAAAAAATTACGACGAGATATTAAACAGAGAAAAAAGTTGTGCTGTGTTCTATAAGGTTTGCTCTATCGATCGTTGCTTGAACTATTCTGAGGATTGATATGAAAGTTTTCAAAAAATTGTGAAACTTGACATCTCAAAAAGCAACGGGTCGAGGATTTTAGCTATTTTCTGAAAGCTCAATGACTGCTCTTGCAACGTTTTATACTGTTAGATAGAGGATGAAATTCTGCATTGAATGCTACCAGAAACCTCTTAGAGATCCTTTGTTCCTATCAAATGTGGCGTCCGTTTGAAAAAAGCGAAAGTACTTATCGGAATGACCTAATACACCTAATACACGGCGTCCCAAAAGTATGTATGCACTGTTTGATCGTCAATATCTCTCTTCCCAAGAAGTCTTTCGCCTTGCTTTAGGTACCATTTTGTAGAGCTGGCTTCAACTTAGATTTCCAGTATAGAACGACTCACCCATCTTTCTTCGTTACTGTAGGATTACGGTAGGAACTTGAAACATATGGTGTCAATGTGGAAAAAGCTGCCATTTCAAAATTTTTCAAAAAAATGTGAAAACTTGTGTAATAGGATTTTTATGGACGCTGACCTCAATTCCCACTATTCATAGATTGCGAAGCTTTCCAAATAGAACCTAACTTTTTAGGAACATTGAAAAAATGACCGCTACCTCTTACCTGGCATAACTCTTCAGTGAAACATCATAATAAGTTGGGAAATTTACAGTTAGAATCAGCAACTCTAATTAGCCTAGTGTAAAAGTTTCAGGTTGTTTTGGTTTCTTTTTGGAACAAAATATGGCCTTTCATTGTTCAAAACCCTCTTCAAAGTTTCTACCGTACTCCTACAGTAAGAATGAACGACCGGCGATTCGTTCTACACTGAAAATCTAAGTTGAACCTCGCTCTACAAATTGGTACCTGAAGCTTCTCGAAACACTTCACTACAAGAGAGTTATTTACAATCAAACAGTGTGCACATCTTCCTGTATATATATATCAGTGGCGTACCGAGGGGGGGGGGGGGCCGGGGGGGGGGGGGGCGCGCCCCCCCCCCCCCCGAGAATGGGTCGCGAAATTTTCGAAACTTACCTATATGGATTATAAAAATGTGCAAACGACTTGTTTATTTTTGTAAACAATTGAAATAATTTAATTTTTTAAAAATTCAAATTAGCCTTACAAAAAAAAATTTTTTCGGGGGCGTGGCTGACGCCACGCCCCCTTTTTCCAGATTTTAGGGGTTGGGAACCCGCAAAAATATTGAGAAGTACTCCTAAAATTTTTTCGGAGTGCATGGCTAACGCCACGCACCTTCATTTGAAAAAATTTTTTCCGCGACCCCCCCCCCCCCCCCCGGTCCGAAATCCTGGGACCGCCACTGATATATATATATATATATATATATATATATATATATTAGGTTGGTGCAAAAGAAATGGCCGATTTGCGAATTCTCACTTTGATGTGCTATAACTTTCTAAAAGATCCACGTTTCTGAATGCAGTAAAGACCCTCAGAAGCAGCAAATCTTTCGCAATACAGCGCATGCTTACTTATACTCAAACCATAAACGGGAAGAGAAATACGGACTAAATAACAAAAAAGGTTCCTCTTCTAGAACTTTGTTTTTGACAATTCATAACTTCCTTCAAAGTTTCTTAGTATAAATGCAATAAATGCAATAAAAAGAATTCGGACAAAAAAGTTTGCGAGAAAGAAAAAATTGAAATTTAAAATTTCTCAGTTTTTTCAACATTTTTTCAGTGTGCCTCAAAATCCAGAATATAGAATTTTCCGTGTTTCTACGTACTGAACAGCTGGATGTTTTTGCAAAAACTGCTAATAAATGTCCTAGCTCTACGCCTACAGAATTGAGCAAAGCTTCGGCGACTGACTTCCTCAGAAGAAAATTATGGGTCATAAAATGACCGCAACAGCTACCATGTTTAGGCGCCGATATCTCAATCTGGATGACTTCAAGAATGCAGTTAAGTATGCATAATGTAGAAAATTTCTATTACATACAATAGCTATATTTTCGAAGAAATCCCATTGATACGCGCTTGAATTCTGGCCGGAAAAGTGGATGCAATGAAATTCTGAATTTGGATGCAGTTATTTGAAGCTCAGTAACTTTACAAGAGATAAGGTTGAGAGCCCGTTTTAAGCACCGTTAGTAAAGCATGAAAACAGCTTCGCGACAATGTACTACATCCATTGTAAAGAAGAACTATTGATGGAAAAAAGTTGCCCCCATCATTCCGAAGCGAGTTATGGGCTTTTTCCCTGCGCAAAATTGGCATATTACTGAACATGAGAAGACTGCCTGTAGATAAAAATCTGCAAGAAAAAGGTGCTGAGGTATCGAAGTAGTATAAATCCGATCTTTTCTCACTAAATAAAGAACGCAGGTGTATCAGCACTCAAATGATGATGACTTGATGCCACTGACAAGGGAAGTTCACTTAGTCGAAGTGGCGATTCGGAAGGAGATCTATACCAATAGAGCTCAAAAAGCTGATCTCAGACATACCTTCTATATCTGCGATGCATTGTTCTGAAAAAGTTGCGAGCTTTTCTAAAGCAAAATTTTAGTGCATTTTGAGTTGCATCAAGATAATCTCTACACAAAAGTGTGCAAGCTTAAGCAAACCACCTAGTAAGCATTGGGTCTAAGTCGAGTTCATCCGAACGCTTTTGAGTGTTTTTCGACCATGTTGTTCATGTACAGGTCGTCATTTCATTCCTAGATTACACTTCCATTATGTGTACAAAAAACCCCCATAACCTCCATCTAAAAGAACGCGTCGCAAATATTGAAGATATATTTGAGAACATCGTTTTACGTTCTATCCGTTGGTAGTTTCCAAAAAGTTTCCGAGGCGACACGTTCTTCTAGATGGAGTTTATGGGGCTTTTCTGTATATATAACTAGCTGGCTTACCCGGCTCCGCCGTATGTTCCGAATAGAAAATTCCATTTCTTAACCGATCCGGACCAAACTTGGCACACATACACTTCGGGCCCCGGCGGGTGTCACAGTCAACTTTTCGTTATCGATCGATGTCGATTTTATCGATTTTTTGCAAAATTTGAGCTAGGGGGCTGGAATTTGGCAGAGGGGTGTAATCGGGCATGCTGATTACTAATACAATTTTAGTTTTCGAAACCGTGCATTACTTTTATCGATTTTTTGCAAAATTTGAGCTAGGGGCTGGAATTTGGCAGAGGGGTGTAATCGAGCATGCTGATCACCCCCACGGGGATGATCAGCATGCTCGATTACCCCCCTGCGCCAAATCCCAGCCCCGTAGCTCAAATTTTGCAAAAAAATCGATAAAATCGATATCGATCGATGACGAAAAGTTGACTGTGACACCCGCCGGGGCCCGAAGTGTATGTGTGCCAAGTTTGGTCCCGATCGGTTCAGAAATGGAATTTACTATTCGAAACATACGTACATACACACATACAGACAGACAGACAGACAGACAGACAAACAGACATTCAGCTTTATATATAAGATGGAAGTGTGATCTAGGAATGAAATGACGACCTGTGAATGAACAACATGGTCGAAAAACACTCGGAAACGTTCGGATGAACTCGAAATAGACCTACAATACTTAATGTGGTTTGCTTAAGCTTGCACACTTTTGTGTAGAGATCATCTTGATTTAGCGACTCAAAATGCACGAAAATTTGGCTTTAAAAAAGCTCATAACTTCTTTCAGAACAATGCGTCGCAGATATAGAAGGTATCTGAGATCAGCTTTTTGAGCCCTATCCACTGGTATAGATCTCCTTCCGAATCGCCACTTCACTAAGTGAACTTCCCTTGTGAGTCGATGAGCATGCCAATTTTGCGCAGAAAAAAGCCCATAACTCGCTTTGGAATGGTGCGTGGCAGCTATAAATAGCATATTTGGAATCAGCGTTTGAAGCTGATTCAGATCGTATACGTTTCTTGCCAAAAGGCCGAGCTAAGTTAGGTAGCTTCCTTTGTAAGATGCAACGTTCAAAGCGTTTTTGTGAACATTGTCAAGACAAAGTCAAGAAATAATCTTCATTGAGAGATAAAAACGGTACCTACACAGTAGCACCAGATCACACCATGAGTAAACAACTCAGAAGCGCTTGATAGGTGAGCTTCGTTTAACAGTAGTATAAAATGCGCTACCGGTAAATGCTGCTCACAGGGATGATTATTATTACACAATAATCCACATATACATTAAACAAGAATATACCACTCACATGTGATAAAATTCTAACAATAAGAGACAGGTAAGATATAATAGGACGCTGGGGATGTCAATGGCAACAACGAGTCAGGAGGATGGGAAAATGGATAGGGAAGGAGTCATGGCTTTATATATGGGAATGAGCGCAATAAAAGAGGTGAGTAACATATAGTCGAATCGTTACATATGACCGTATGTGTGTTGCACACACCGTCCATCTTTGGCGTCCTCATCCTGGATTCGCAAACGCGAAAACGCAAGGATCTGACCTTTTCTCGCTTACCTTACTTTGAGGTGATTACTGTCCAAAGAGGAAAGAAAATATCAGGAACACATTGAAAGCACTTATCTGAAGGGTTATCTCCTCCACGAATCCAGGATTGTAACGCCAAAGGTGGACAGCGTGTGCAATGACCCACATGATCATATCTAATGATTCGACTGTACAGCGTCTATTGTTGAAAGATTCAGCGGAGAGGAAATTTTGACTAAAACGCACAGCGAAACATGCAATCGACTGATAGAAAGATCACAGGTAATTCAATAAGACCATTCTCTCAATTGGTACAGACAGTAGTTGGGTCAAAAAGTCATTATGAGAGTAGGTACCAGTTGTGTGATTCAGTGAAATTGATAACTCAGCAGCTGTCAACAAGTTCCTCTGCTGAATGTGATTCTGGGATCGGAGCTATGGAAGTGACAGGTACGTCTACCTCAGCCTGAACATGACTGATATGGCGATTCGGGTTACAAAGTGTATACAAGAGTACAGTCGAGTAGTATTTCCGCTTAATATGGTGTGCTTGCACTGTAGGTGAAATGCGCTAAGATTTGCGCGTGAAGAAATAACTAGGCCTGTGACGCCTTCCGCTTGCGCGCGCAGAATGCCGGCATTATCGGCATGGCTGATTTTTTACGCGCAAATTTTACCGCATTTCAGCTACAGTGCAAGCACACTATATTAAGCGGAAAATCCACTCGACTGTAGCTCTTTGATAGGATTCTGCACTTACCGCTGTGTCCGTTGGACTATGTAAAGACGGTGTGAAGATTGCTGTCGTTTTTGAATTACCATTGGTGTCAACTGGCCTGAAATGATCTCATACTGACTTCCAGCTTTAGCGTTGCTGCGACTTACACTTCACTGTCGCTGCTCCTTGTACTGCTGGAGCAAGTCGAGTCATTGGAGATCGTACTAGTCCAGCTTTTTGGTCGCTGTCGAATGAGTTGATCCTCGCGCGGGACGACGCGAGAGAGTCTGTGGATCCATCGTGATCGTTGTTCCGTGTCACATGTCTCCACTGCATACGCATCTGATCTCGCTTCATCCCAGAGTTCGAATCGAGATGAGCCTGAGCGCGAGCATTCCGAGAAACCAAGTGAAGACATCTGAAGGTTATTCATTTGAGGGCAGATCGTGAGTTGCTTTTTTCGCACTTCGCATCAGTGGTGTTTATATTGGATTGGCGCGAAAGTTCTTCACACAAAAAGCAATAACTTTTGAATACCAAACTAGATTCAAAGTTGAGTTTCAATTGTTACAAGGATTGCGCTTCACAACGGATGAGTTAGCCGCCAAAAACGAAGCTTTCAAGATTGGCGTTGGTTGAGCGTCACTTTGCGGTTGAGTTTGACGCCAGAAAGTCGCAGAGGGATGCTAGCCAGCCCAAAAAATGATTAAAAATTTCTTACACAGCAAAAGTTCATACGTAACTTTGCAAGGCTTCATTCCCATATGGAAACGGAGAAACGAAAAATCTGTAAAATTGTCATTTTACACGAAAAATCTCCTTCTAGCTGCGGTTTTCTCACAGAACCGCAGTTTGGAACAAGAAATCGGACCTATGGGCTATTTAGAACTTCCGGCGCTCTAGCATCAAAGTGTTTTTGAAAGAAGTGCATTAATGAGGGGATTTTTTGTGTAAAATGACAAATTTCATCGTTTTCGCGTCAAAATACAATATTGAAGCCTGCACCGTAGCGTGTGGGTTTTTGCTGCGTAGAAAATCTACATATTTCTGAGCTGGCTAGCAGCCCTTTGCGATTTTCTAGCATCAAATTCAAAATCGAAGATCTGAAACGCTTTGCATTTGAAGCGTTTTCGCTGGCTAACCTAGAGATGTTATGCTCGACTAAAGCGGACGGCAAACCTTCTATTATTTTTTAGAGCGATGGGACCCTAACAAATCATTAGGTAGAAGATTACTGATGACTGAGAAATTTACCTCCGAAACCCCAGATTCCGCGCCCTCAGCGTATAATCTAGTATCGTTGTATGCGTTCGTGTGACCATGCTCTCAAGGCGTCTCCGCGAAAGTAGCTTCACTACAAGACTGGCCGGATTATGACCGGCGCGCGCTTTAGGGATTTCGGAGGTGGGGTCCTCCTGACAGTCAGAAAATCTTTTGCGCTTCCGCCCTGGCCATTTTTTGTTAGAAGTTTCCCATCGCTTTTCACATAAGAAACTTATATGCCCAGATTTGCGGGGACACTGCCTTTAGAGGCAGGCAGGCAGGTCTGGACACATGGGGATCACGTGGATAGTGGGGCCCTAACTAAGCCAGTGCCCAACCGGCAGCTCAGGCAGTGCTCTAACGGCTGAGATACCAGGATCGTATTTCGCATGGATTCATGACAGTTTCGCGCGAGGACCCACGCGTTGCGCCATGAATCCATGCGAATACGATTATGGAGTCCAGTTTGGAGGTATATCTCAGCCGATAGTGAGTCACCTGCGCTGTCGCTTGGACAGTGCCTTAGGCCTAAGGCATACCTCGCGCGATTCCGGTCGTTGCGCGATTTGGCACAATGGCGACTCTCTTAATTCGTCGTTAATGTGTTTCCTTTGGTCAGAACTTGACCCATTTGCAACAACTTACACAAGCTACCCGTCTATGCTTTCGAGAAGCGCGCACGATAAACTTGTGGAAATCTGGCAAATTGCCAGCGTGAAAGTGGCGATTTGGCCGAATCGCGTGAGGTATGCCTTAGGCCTTAGTTAGGGCCCCAAAATTACATTCCACGTAAGATCCCCATAGGTCAAGATCTGCCTGGATGCTGCCTTTAATGTTTTACGTCGTGAATCAGAAGGCTTGTATATCAAAGCGAAGCATGAGCGGGGAGAAAGGAGAAAGGAGGATTCAGCTGAGAGAGGACGTGAGGAGAGAAAAGAAGATTATTTGCTGTTTCGAAATTTTTTCCACTTCAATCACTATAAACATCACATAACATAACATATCAAATATAGTTCTGGGACCATTTATTTCTCTTCAACTAGCAGCTATGTCCTGGAGCGAGATTAGCGGGCACAAAACAGTCAAACTTCCAACCCATCACTGACATTCCTCCGTTCACGCTAATTTTTGGGGTGCTTTCGAAATACGTCAAATAACAAGGAGAGAGAGAAGTCTAAAACTGATTGAAAATTTTAAGAATCTTAATTTCCACTATAGCTGGAACCGAATAGTCGTATTCGAATGATTTATTCGAAATATTCGACTATTCGATTATTCGAACAGTCGAATTTTCAAAAAAGTCCAATTATTCGATTATTCTGATAGTCGATTATATGAAAAAGCCTTTTGTTCGAATAATCTGTTTATTCGACAACTTGGAAAAATGTCATATTCGAATAATCCAGGAATCTTAAAAGATAGTTATTCAAATATTCGAATACTCGGGAAGTTTCGGAAACAGTTGTTTGAATAATCAAATATTCGAATATTGCATTCGAATAATCGAATACATTCGAATATTCGATGAAATTTGTTATTCGCTCATTCGAATAGTTCAACATTCGATCAAGTTCGGTTATTCGAATATTCGAAAGTTCAAATTTTGGAATGTGCTCATATATACTCGAATTCGAATTATGAAAATCGAAAATAGAATAATATTCTTTCATCATTCGAAAATTTTTCGAAATTCAATCATACGATATTCACTCTTTCCAGAAATTTTCAAAAATCAATTATTTGATATTCGTTCAATCAATGAAAATTCCCGTTCGTCACAATTATAATCTCCACCATACTTGTTATTATTTATAAAGCTGTGTAAGGCAATACCGAGCGCAATCCCAGAGGCTGTGTTTTTGGAACGATCAAAGTCTATTTTTCATAATTACGTTCGCTGTTGATCAAGCTTCAAATGCTTCATCCACACGTCCATATTACTGCTAGAGTATATTGCACATATAGCTTAAAATCAGAGTCGGAGTATGAATCTGACTGTGAGAACTAGCTTAGTGCAAGATTTCCTTAACACTAGTCTACGTAGTCTTTTCCACAACGTTATAATAGCAAAATGTATCAAAGTAAATATGAAAATGAGATTCTGACGCACTAAAATGGTTTCACATTTTTTGTCAACAGATGACAGAGAAGAAGAACGCCGGCAATAGAAGATATGAAATCTCTGATCCATGAAATATTATTAGGTTGGAAACTAAGTTTTGCAACTGCTTTCATAACTCTCTTTGGACGTATTGCACTCAAACTTTGGCTATATGAAGATCTCAATATGTATTACATTTATGCACAACCTGTTTAACTTTTAAAAACGAAATAAAAAATAACGAGCATTTTTCCAAAAATAGTAAATTTTGAGGATTTATGAATTTTTGAGCAAAAATAGAGCCGTTCGCGATCCACATCAAGCGTAATGATCCGAAATTATATGTGAATAATTGCTTGACGTTGACTCATTTAGCTCAGTAGGAAAGGAATAGATTTGAAAGACAAGTCGAATTTTAGCGTCTTCACAAAACTGAAGTACACAAGGCTGGTGGGGACAACTATCAATGACTAAGGAGTGGGAACGTCAAAATCCGCGGAGACTTCACATAGTGAGGTTATCCGAACTGCTAAACACGTATATCATTTTCGTCAGTTAAATTACAGTCTTTACTATTATTTAAGGTGAGACCCCACACCGTATCTTACAAAAAAGCTCTTACCGTGCAAATCCAGCATGTTATTCCTGATCAGCATGTCGAAACCCCCCCCCCCTACGCCAAGTTTCAGCCAAATCCGTAATGATTTGCAATTTCCTCCTTTATACTATATGCCTACCGTAATCCCCACTGCGACATCAGAATTTGATGGAAAATGTGCTTGTAGCTTACGTTATAAACAACAACCGGTAAAATTTGAGTGCTTCATATCAAATGAGAGCAAGATTATTTAGCGAGTTGCAAAACTTAGTTTCCGAACTAATATTAGCAACTAAATGCGATAGAACTTTCGATGCGAACTAGCGAAGATGCTCTGTTTCTCAGCTTACGCAGAACCACGTGGAAAAGCCTATCACATCAAACGAGCTGAATGCTAGGAACGAGCAACAATATTTTGGAACAAAATATGAGAATTACAATGAAATCCTCAAAAATCAGCTGTTTACTCTTGAGCAGAAGTCTGATAAGAGGGTCCCTATTGGGAAAAGCTTAAGCGAGAAAAGACTTTTTGGTCACTGACTTATCATACTTTCGAAATTTGAAACTCACGGGAATGCACATTTTGTGTTCGTAGTACTCAGGATCTGCGGTCGACGGCTGACTTGGAGGGTTCCGTTTTTTGCAGAATAAGACACCCCCATCGAACAGGAACAGATGCCTAAACTTGTTTGACTTGAAATTGCAGAAATTTGTGGAGAACTGTGATCATTTCCTGCGAGCTTTAAAGTAAACAAGAGAATCTGTCTTGTGAAGGAGGAATTTTTTCAAATAGCCTTTGGAGTATGCGCGAGTAACAGCGCAAATATTTGCTTATAAATGAGCGAGCAAAAATCAACAAATAATGCGACGTTGTCGATAAAAGCTGGAAAAACGCGGAGGCCCAGTTCATGTAGAAGCTTGCAAGCTCTGGATTTCCTAGGGGACCGTGAGCTGTGAGGTTTTTGGTTATGTTTGGAAAAGTTCTGTAAGGTGGACAAAACTGTAAAGTGAGACTAGCAGAGCAGATTTCTAAAATCTATATAAGCTATTGTCATACCTACGCTGTGCTCGAGCAGTCTTCCCCTTTTTCTTCCGGCTAAACTGATAAACATCGCATTCGGACTGCAACCTGAGCGGCCCCAACAAGCGTAGATCACCCTGAAAATGTGATTTCTCAAATATAGCATTATTATGTATGTGGGCTACAAGACTCACATTAAAACCTGATATATGGAGTTGGTGAATGGCGGCGTTGATTTGCGCGAGCAGCTCCAGCATTGTCGACAATGCAGCAGCAACTTCCGGGCGAACCTAAGCAATTTGCTCTCGTTCCTCTAGTGCAACGCAGAACTTTTTGGATACCTCGGGACGGCAATGCCTCTCAAGTTCACGCAGTAGAAGTTGATACTTGGTGATCCTTTGCACAGGTTTCAGCAGATATGCCCCGAGTGGCAGAGGATGACCTGCCCGCCGCTGGCAATCCTGCATGCAAAACTAGCAAAACGAGCGGCAAAAAACAAAAGGGGCAGATTACCGCGAAAAAGGAGGACATTTCGCAAAATTCTTTTCGAATTGCATCACTAGCAGCCTTGTTCTGACAATAAGCGTGGTACAAGGAAAGAAATCTGCAAGAAAATTGTGCCATCTCAGTCGAGTCCTGTTGTTTGTAACAAAGCAAACCTATTCGCATGCTGGACAAACACACGGCAAATACCAGAAGACGAATTTTCGTTCAGCTGCAAATCCGGTAACAATAAGCGAGAGTGAAAGTGAAGTAAGTCGCGCAGATTACCTAAAAACAAAACGTTATCCGGGAACACATTTGTATGAGTCCGTGACTCTTGAACTCATCGGAATCAGAAAAAAAATCACCAAAGACTAAATCACTTCGACCACGAACTGGAGCCGCAATACTTTGTTGGTGTTCTGGAGCGAGGAAAGGCTCGACGTAGTGTTCTATCAGAGACTCTAATTCCGCAACGTACGTCCTTTCGGTGCTCAACTGAACACAAACTGGAGTATACAGAACTAACAGAATGATATATATATTATACTAGCGACCCTACGGGTCGCTAGCAAGCGGGTAGGGCACACCCATTAATAAACGTCTTTCATACCTATAATTTTCTCAATGTCACCCTCGCACTCACGCTTACAATCTGGAGAGAAAAATCGGATTCACCCAGAGTAGAAGCTCCCAAAAGCGAGATTTTCGAAGATTTTCTCAAAAATTGGCGGAAAAGTGGATCATATCGTGCTAAAATTTTGTCTTGCCCCAGTCATCGCTGTACAGCTTCCTTTCGCAATGCCACTCTCGCACTCACGCTTACAATCTGGAGAGGAAAATCGGATTCACCCGGAGCAAAAGCTCCCAAAAGCGAGATTTTCGAAGATTTTCTCAAAAATTGGCGGAAAAGTGGATCATATCGTGCTAAAATTTTGTCTTGCCCCAGTCATCGCTGTACAGCTTCCTTTCGCAATGTCACTCTCGCACTCACGCTTACAATCTGGAGAGAAAAATCGGATTCACCCAGAGCAAAAGCTCCCAAAAGCGAAATTTTCGAAGATTTTCTCAAAATTTGGCGGAAAAGTGGATCATATCGTGCTAAAATTTTGTCTTGCCCCAGTCATCGCTGTACAGCTTCCTTTCGCAACGTCACCCTCGCACTCACGCTTACAATCTGGAGAGAAAAATCGGATTCACCCAGAGCAAAAGCTCCCAAAAGCGAAATTTTCGAAGATTTTCTCAAAATTTGGCGGAAAAGTGGATCAAATCGTGCCAAAATTTTGTCTTGCCCCAGTCATCGCTGTACAGCCTCCTTTCGCAACGTCACCCTCGCACTCACGCTTACAATCTGGAGAGAAAAATCGGATTCACCCAGAGCAAAAGCTCCCAAAAGCGGGATTTTCGAAGATTTTCTCAAAATTGGGCGGAAATGTGGAAGCATAATGAATACTGAGATCGAATGTGAGCGGATCAAATGGTATGCTTCTATAACTAACATTGCAACAATGTCCAGCTCGCAATTTCAACACCCTTGGCACGCGCTTGCGTCTTTCAACACATTGCAGCAGCAGAACGTACCCTGCGTGTCGTGGCCTCTCGTTCGCGCTAGGACCTCTGCGTCCTCTTGACCTCATGATCGCACCATCGCCTCTCTACACAATAAGGCCTCGTTCGGAAACTGGCGTCTATTCAAAACACACGCTGAAGCATACATGTGGGCGGACCATCCTCGCCGTCTCGTTTTTTGGGATCGGGTTTATATTATAGGAGAGGATATAATGGACAACACCCATACTATATTCAATAATTCTCGGCGCTTGCCATATGAACCACCTATATTTGCTGTTTCCAAACCATCACCTTTTTGCCTATAATATTCTCTGCAAATTCCAAACAATATAAAACATCAATAATGCGCAATGATGTGCGAGGGTACGAGGCTACGCAGGCAAGCATTCTCGTGTCGCAATCCGCAGCTGTCTCCAGCTCTCCTAGTAAACTAAGGAACAGTGCAATTTTGAGGTTGTGGCACGATTTTCAATTAGCTCAACATGAGTTGAGCAATGCGCAATTTCGCGATTCAGAATATAGCCCTTATGTGGGCTCTACACATCTAACTACACTAAGGATGCTACGATGAAGAACCGACAAAGTAAACATGTCATCGCGCAGAGGTGCGACAGTGACAGATTTTAGCTGACGCAGATCTACGACAAATAGCGCTTTTCCGATGAAAATTTGAAACTACGATCAGAAAAGGCACTCACCAATTCGGCCACCACAAAGGACTCGATTGAAATGGAATGAGGGCTTTGAGGAGAGCCAAGGGGAGATCCCGAATTCGAGCAGCACTGCAGATCGCGGACATTGGCGATGTCGCGCTGGAAGGAGTGATTGTGACGTCGAGATGTTTCAGTTTCTCTGTCTTCATACAAATCTTTACCACTCTTTAACTCAGTAACTCTCGTTTGGTGTCTTAGAGACAGATGAGCCTGTTTTGCACGTGTGTGTCTTACAAGATTGAGATGTCAGATGTTAGATTTGCTTCACCATTGCTTCAACTACCCTAACATCTCACTATCGTATGGCTCGAACTGCTCCTGGAGAGACTATGCACCACAGTTTGCCGTTTTATATCTTTTTTGAAGTCTATGTATTCGCTTCAATCCTGACGTCTTGCACTCCTTTACTCTGTATATGACAAAACAAAATGGGGACCGAAAACTTTTGTGTGAGAGGAACCACTCACTGCACATGTTGCATATGAAGTGACGATCCCCAGTGACTAGCTGTACGCATTTTTGCAGGAAAGGATGAAATAGGGCTGTGCACGAATGGGCACTACCATATTGTGGGCAAAAACTAGCGCTGACTAGCAGCTCCGCAGAGATTCTGCTAGAACACGCTTGAATGGATAGCACACGTTGTTGCGCGCAAGAACAGCGCTTCTCACTGACACTTCTGAGATTCTAGTAGTTATTGGCTTACTGGACGGAAACCCAGCAAGATTGTAAGTAGTCATCTCCCTCGTAATGGACAACACGTCTTCCCCAATGAAGCTCATGCGAACTTTAGAAAGCACTAAACATAGCAGCTGGCATGCTTTTTATGCAAGAAAGCATGAACGTGGCAAGTGGCAGACAAGCCTCCTCGAATCACGCACTGGCTCGGGCTTTCTTCAACTCGAATGCAATCATCACAGGCCTTACGCATACAACCTCCCATGATCAACGCATGACGCTTCCAAAGAATGAGCAATGAATGCGATCCGACTGGAACGGACAATCAACAAGATCAAAACGTTAGAGACAAATAAAATTAGTAGAACAACGAACGCAGGTCAGAGACAAACCTTGGTTCCGATGCGAACAGCTGAGTGAATAAGCTTATAGCTGAGAAGAAGTTTTTGCAGCCAACGATTTCCATGAATCGCCAAAGTCATCGCAATGGGGGTGGAAGCGAGTTATCGCTGCTCAGACCATGATACTGAGTGAAAGTAAGCAAAAAATCAGGAAAGCACGTGGTGCAGCGTCTCCAACTTCCCATCCATGAGCTTAAGCGAGCGAGCTAAGAAAGCAAGTAGAAAAAATAGGTTCGATACGCGCAAAATCAAAGAGCCGACAATAAACCATAGAGAATAACAGCACGCATACAATATCTGTCAACCATGATGGGGAGATCACAAACGGTAAACCTCAAGACCATGCAGCATCGATATAAAGGGTGTTCACGGATACATGCTTGATGGAAAAGTAGAGAGTCATAAAAAACAGTAGAAGCGAGAAGCAGAACAAGAATATTCCCAGTTTTCAACAACAAAGTCAAATGAAAAATACAAAGAAATCTCTAAATTGCATCTTGCTTCGCAAGCAGATTTGGACGCACATCTAGCCTGACGTACAAATCAAGATGTCATATTCAGGCACTCAGATCGCCAAAAAACGCGCGATAACTCGGCTAACTGTGCGAGCGGATAGAAGATTGGCACATAGTGATAACCACGGTAACAGTATGAATAAAGAAGCGTAATGAGATGGGAACTAGTCCGAAATCGAGAAAGAAAAAACTGAAACCTCATTCTTCTGGTAGGAAAATGACGAAAAAAAGGAAAGTGTGGGAAAATGCTGTACAACTACGATTTTGCTCGATAAAGTCCCGCTGCTTACATAACTTGTACTTCGAATGAATGAGTTCGTTGATAGTTGAAAGTCGTCAGTTATGCACAGATTTTATCCCCTTTCTTGGAACATGTACCGATATGGGCGACACTACTGAAGTGGTCAAGCAGATCTATGTGACATGCGACCGTTACAAGTGGGGAAACATTGACAGTAACACATGTACTAGAGCAACAATCCAAGAAACGTGAAAACGCAACGACGACGAGAGAACAGAAGAAATGGAGCTATGAACCACCTATTCGCATCATAACGCAGTTTCTTGTGAGGAGATTGATACGCGGTCAATAAAGTTGTTCAGCGGCACCGAAAAGGCCAGGGACTGGTTCCTGGCACTTTAAATTTGTACAAAGATGAGATTGAAATGGCTTTCTGGGTAAGCAAGACTAACGATGATAGCGACGGTGCTGATGTTCGTCAGGGAGAGAGTAGTAGCGCAGGCCAAACTCGATCAGAATCGCTTCTGTGTCAGAGAAATAATAGATGGTGGATAGACTTCTGAGACAAGATTGTTAAGGTTGCGACCCAAAATGCTGAGTGGACAGTGTTGTTACCACACATATAGTGTGACGGCAAAGTTGACTGAGCAAAATTTGCCCCTCAGGAGACAACTGTGATTCCACTAACGTCAAGCTCCCGCGCAGGTGCATTGAAAATGTGCGAGCGGAGCAGCCGGATTAAGCAAGACAAATGCTTCGCTTCATCGCCATTGCGCAAGGAGTGGAACGAGTCTGAACGAGTTTAGCTGGGCCTCAGAAAGTTGGCCAAGATCAGTGGTTGCGCTGGGCAATTAACGCGCACATCGCATTTCCTTCACACGTGAAAATCAGCTGTTTTTGTTATTTGTTGTGAATGTGACTGCAGCAGCCGAATAGTGCAGCGCACGAAAACAGTCAGAATTGAACGAAGATGCGCTCGCAGGCTTCCGCCAGCAGCAACTCTGCTTTCGCTCGTACGCACGCGTCTGAACAGAAACCACATGTGCACTAACGAAAACGCCGCAGACACGACAGCTCGTCCCAGCATACAATGCTAATTCGTTTTTGAGTATAGGTGTCGATGCGCAGAGATCGCGAGTGAATTAAAAGTCGTAAAAAAGACGAAACGCCCGAAAGTTCATCGAGAGATGAGAAGGAGAACGGATAAGCGAAATATGGAATGATAGCAAAAAATGCACTTCTGGCTCGCTGCGCTCAGGAAAAGAGTGAATCTCGTTTCTCCAAAGTCGATACGAAGAGCAGTCAGCGAAGTGACCGCGAATCATGCTTGTGGCAGTGTAGCGACAAAAGCAGGTCAAAAGGAACTTACCATATTACAGTCGTTATTGTTGTCGATGGCACATAGTGAGGAATCACTTGTGGACCAAATCAGTGGAGCAGACAGTGAATTAACCAGTCGTCGTTTTGGCCTTCGAAATGACAAAAAACGAGGCAGCGTCCTCTTCATTATGAGTAGACATGCGAGGTAGCGCGATTGCGATAGAATGCAGAGATGAGGATGAATATATCGCTGGAATATCGCAGCGGCCTGGTGCGCACTACGGGAAGAAGTGGGCGGCGGCGGTGAGGAGGAGGCGCGAAAGCGCGCCAGCGCGGACCCGAGGGCTATCGGACGTCTTCTGCTGAAGCGTCCCCTCGACGAAGTGCTTCTGCTTTGCTGCCGACGCCGGGGCACGCGCGGCGTTTTTCCACGCGAAACTAACAGCAAACCGCTCTCTCTTCTGGAGTGTGTTAGTTCGGTTATAGAGCTGCAGCAAATAAAGTAGGAGACTTACGAAGTCATTCGTTCATACTGATCCACGAGTAATCAATAAGACGTCAACAGGTGAAGGTCACTAAAAGTGCTGGCGGCGATTGATCACCAGCTGGCCTACTCTCAGCCGAAGGCTGGCACCGCACCCTTCCGTATGCATCTTTTTTAACTGTCAGCGTGCAAGAACCTTGTTTGCGTTCTCCTATACGCAGATTACGCTGCCTTAATTGGGCTGTTCTGAGGTATCATTTGCATATGTTTGCAGGACAATAGTTCGGGTTTGGGTCGCTGAAATCTCCGTATCAGAGGGCCGGCATCTTAAGTCTGATAGTCTTCAGCCAGTGTCGCAGATGGTCATTTTATTTTGCGCAGACCCCCACACAAAAATATCAGACTTTTCTTTAACAGGTGTTGGATTAGTTATCTGTACACAACTTCAACTCAAACAAACATCTTTGCTTCTATGGTTTACATCACTTCTTGGCAGTCTATTCAACGAAATAGTGCTGCAGAAACTCAGGTATATGTCATCAACAAATAGCCTATTTTTAATTCTGATTGATTTGCGGGCTTTGTATCGTCATTTGCTGACATTACACGCAGCAGCGGTATTCACACTTGATAAAGCTACAACCTACGCATGGATTCTCAGCTTTCTTCGTCTAGATACCCTGAAATGTTGCCGAGAGTGTACATGCAACGTATGCACAAATGTGTACGGTAATATTTTTTTCGATGACCAGGGTCAGAACAGTTCTCGTGGGATTTTGAGTTAGTCAGATAATTCTCAACGAGTGTACCTCTTCCACAGGCGTCTGCGTCTTTTCGGGGGTGACCACCTGCACGGGCTTGCGCTCGACCATCTTCGCCAGCGCATCTCTCCTCGCCACTCCCATCCTCCGTATGTCGTCAATGCGCTCGGCCACCTAAACACCTTAGTAGATGCCTTGATCAATCGACGCTTTCGCTGCATGCGGAGAACTGATCGAGGTTCGCAGCGCAACACATTGCGATAGCAAAATGCGATGTATCAGGAGACTACGGAGAGAACACAACTCAAAACTGCCTCTTTTGTTCAATACTTCTTTGTACGAGAACTAGGAGGGACAGCTTGTTCGCCTTCTCTAGAATTGCTTCAGTTGATGAGCCTTTTTCGATTCATCAAAAACTCTCTACCAGTTGTAAAGTTGTATTTGCTACAGTATGTGGTCGCTATTCGCAAAAGTGTTCAATATAATAATTGCTGCACAGATTACACAACAATTTTCCTGTTGCAAACGAAAGATATAAAGATATAAACGCGCATCTAGACAAAATTAAATATCAAGAAGGGTGTTGTTTGCATCCTATGAGGCCTAGGTACAAGAAAAATACAAAAAAGAATAGGATACAATCCGATGTTACGTTAAAACTTGCTTACAAGGTTTTGAAGATTTCTCAGATTGTAATGGATAACATTAATAGTGCAAAATTTCTTTTTTGTTGAATTACGAACGCATGCATGAGTAAGTAAATCATGGCGCTACGGTTGTAGAGAAACTTCGCAATCTTTTCGAGTATCGATGTATACTAGCCGAACTAGGAATCAATGATTAAGCCAAGAAAAGATCAGCGGCAAGACAGGATGTCCCAACGAAAAGTGCACACTGTTGATCGTTGATAACTCTCTTGCTTCAATGTCTCTTGCCGACCTTTAGGTAATTTGTAAAGTTAGTTTCAGCTTAGATTCGCAGTGTAGAGGAAATCGTTGAGGAGTGTAGAGGAGATCCTTGTTATTGTAAGATTACGGTAGGTGCTTTCAGCATGCAGAACCACTGTGAAATAAGCCGTTTGACAAAACTTTTTCCAAGAAATTCGGAGAATCCTGTAGCAGGGTATTCACGCATGCTAATTTCACTACACAACTTCCTGAGAGTTTTCTGAGCTTTTTAATGGTGTAATCACTGGAACATTGGAGAAGCCGTTGTTACGGTACATCTCCAATAACTTATGCAAGAAGTATTACAGTGAAGTGCATAGTCTATATTCGAAATTACGACTTTGATTAGCCTCAAAAGTTTATGGCTTGTTTGGTTGCCTTTCTGAAGCAAAATATGGCTATTAATGACCTAATTTCCTTCACGAGATTCCCACCGTAATCTACACTGAAGAGAGTTCAATGATTCGCTCCATACTGTGAATCTAAATTAAATCTCGCCCTACCAAACGGTATCGGGAGTTCGCGAAAGAGATCAAAGCAGGAGAGTTATTAACGATCAGACTGTGTGCACATTTCCTTGGGACACCCTGTACTTGGGCCTTATTCGGGTAAACATTTCTGTTATTGCCACAATATGAAGTTTGGTCATAAGCTTGTGTAGATCATCACCGAGAATACTTCCACAGAGGAGATATTGTGCTGTTGCAGTGTATTTTTTTCCATTCCTCTCCCCCCCCCCGCTCCTTCGAAGCAAACTGGTGTTTGCTTCTCACGTCCAATTCGAGGCAAGAAAACAAATGGAGCAGCGGTATGCTGTGCGCTACTATGTATGGAGTTCAAAGTTTATATGGGATAATCTACTTGCGACGAGAAAAGGGGTACGAGCATTACTACGGCAGCATGTTTGTGGATGACCGCAAGAAACTGATTTTCACCGTGTTTCTAAGAACTCTTTTACTTTACAGCGTTTGTAATGAAAGAGGCTCGTGCAGAAGACAAGTTGTGCAAAGACGCAATCAATATAGTACCTAGAGAGAAGGGTGAGGATTATGCACCATAGACTTTTTTGTAGCAATCAGTATTTAATCCGACTGCCAGAGTGGTGCATAGGTGAAAAAGAAGTTGATTAATTCACAATATTAATTCTCTCTGTTGAGACCCAAGTTTCGCATTTAGTAGCATTTTCTAATAGAGGGGAATACACTCGGATTGCTGTAGCTTTCGCGGATGCGAGAAGAATCTATGGTGAAAACTGTGTTGAAATTACCTACCTGAGCAAGCAAGGTCGATGTTTCAGTCGTGGTAAGTAGTATGAGGCTGTTCATTGTTGGTGATTGACTTATGGCATCCAGCTGAATTATCGATGGATAAAGGAATTAGTGTGAGATTAAGTTCCCGAACTCAAGGCTTACCTGAAGTTTTGAACCCTCCTCAAGAAACTCGTCCATTCTCGCCAAACTGCTACCTGCAGATGCCGGAGTGGCATCTTGGAGGATGGATGAAAGCATCTCTACTCCTTTTTTACACCATGAATTGGCCTAAAGTGCATAGGAGATAGTACTTGTTCGAGAGCTATCACATTCAAATTTGTGCAACAAATACAAATGCTGGGCACGCAAAGACAACGATTCATAGTAATTTATGGAGAACGTTTCGAACATTGTAATTTATATATATCAACACTAGAAAGAATCGTTAAGATCTATTAGGAGTAAAAAGGTCACGTTGCTTTCAAAGTTTTATAGTAGTTGCTTGCTGCTTCGTTCAAAGTTACAGCGCTCGTGAGCTACTAGCTTCGCGAAGAGATTTTTTATAGAGGCTTCAAATACGGCAGACAAAGGCACTTGAGCTCTATTTCAAATAAATCCTCAGCACTGGAAATCCCTACGCTCGATACAAGGTAGCATAAAGCGAATTCTTCGAGCGATGAATTTGAGAGCAGTTGTTGTCGCTTTCGACAAAAATGGCTACCAAAGAATTCGCCATCTATCCTAAGAAAAAGAATAGAAAACAGTTCCAATAAACAATGGCTAGAGTTATCATCTCATCGCTTTGAACATATTAAAAAACACTACTTGCTTCAAAATCACATGAAGTAGCGCGATTTATTAGTGCATCAGCATTAAAAGGAGATTTTCCTAGCAGATAGAAAAGTGAAGTTTGCAAGGATATCCAACTGAATGGTCACATTGAAGGCATTTCGTAGCTTACCTGAGATATCTGAGTATGCATAGTGATGCTCATCTTGAGCACAGTAGCTCTCCTCTGCAAAGCCCCGTTCAGTGCTTCCGCCATACGCTCAAGTTCGTCACATTTCGGAAGAAGACTGCCCGAAATCTGAACGTCAAACAGTTGTTCCGGCCAAGCGCGCAAAAATAATCTTTGGTGAGCGAAAAAATCGTTAGAATAAGAGTTTGCACAGCGACGTACTCCAACATCATTCGTGGAAATCAGCTCTTCGCCAGTATTTTTGAGGGCTTTCGCTGCCTTGACGTCTTCCTTGAACATATGTTTTGAGATTCGAAAGGATTTCAAAAATTCGCAAATGACTGGAACGACAAAGTGACTAATAGGCTTCCGCTCTGAGCGAACATGACTGCGAAAGATACATGTAATGTTGCCAGCACTTCTTTCAGGAGACCCAAAAGTTGCGTACCTGCGCCGTTTCAGCATACTGTTCGTGTTTCTCCGCCAAAAGTTGAGCTGCTTGGACACCTTCGCCGACTGCTCGATGCTCCTCTAGGTAAAGCATATGACGGGCAAACGAGGATTGCAACTGAAATGGGCGGTCAGTATTTTGCAAAATAATGCAGGGTTGTCCTTGCGATTCGTTGCGTCCGACTCACTCCTTCACAAGACGCTATCTTCTTCGTGTATAAAAAACTGGCTAGCGAACGAAGAGCCAATCTTTGACTCTATCTCTCTTTACAATCCGCACTGTCGGAGCGTAACGAACATTCAAAAGTGCGGTTGATAGGTTGTAAAGGTTTGACATAAGAAGTACGACCTAGGGGGTTGAATTTCTATGTCAAAAGAGAGATAAGCAGAACAGCATCTCTGGTGAAGCATGCATTTTAGTATCTTACTAAACGACATTTTCGAATTTACATAGGACAAAAAGCGAAAATTTTTACATCTACATTTAGTCAAGTATGTGGTATGTGTAAGCTGGTATGTGCGTTGACAAGCTTCTTCTTACTAGCAAACTACTTCTTTGAACCAGTATAAACCAAATCAAGTGTTCTTGGAGCGGCCAAAGCGGTCGAGTTCGAATGCTCACAGTTTTCGAATCTGGGGTGCTGAACAAAAGTTCCACCCGGGGCTCGGCATAGGCGGCTTACGGGACAAGCTAGATATCGTTTCGGGGTAAAAAGTAAGGGGATATCGTTTACGGAAACCCTCCCCCCCCCCTCCTCCTCCACATTCCCTTTCTCCCTCTTATGTCACTCTTCACCTTCTATAGAGGAGGCAGATTGTCATTCTTGCCTTATCGGTCCTATTCCTGCAAAAACCAATAGATTCCTGTTTCAACAGGTTCTCCGTTTAAGCGCGCGAATTCAAAAACCTGCTCCGAAATAAACAAAAATCCTTGTTTACAGCGAAAAGAACATTAATTGATACCAAAATTGGTGTGTAGATGGGCAACAGGGGTTTAGAAGTCTAAACGAAAAATTAAGAAAAGTTATGTGAACTGAAGACGTGGCAAACTTTTTTCGAAGTTAGGTGGCTTTCCAACCACCTGGACAGTCACCTAAGGTGGTTGTGAAAAGAAAAAGTTATGATTCCTTCCCTTTACTTAATTTTTTCACAAGTCTAACATGACTTTATTGGTCATCAAAAAACCGTACAACTGAGCGTTTGAATCTCCCCAAATCCCCTCCTCCTCGCCTAGTTACAGCCCTTCAAATATTTTGTACCGACGGCGGCAAGCCTGCTCCAAGCGCGCAATGGTGCGCAGCGCACAGTATGCCGCCAATTCGAAGAATGCGAACTTCCTCAGTTTTCTTCTGTTTAATGTTGTTTTTATTTTTTGTTCCATTATTTCTTGTTAATCGTGTTTGATCCATTCATGATCGCGTCATCGGTGATGTCGTATTCTTGTGGCGAAGTATATGGGGACTTTGTTTTTGGAAAAAAAAAGAAAAGCCACCTCCATGCCGAGCCCTAATTCCACCTAGGCAGAAAATCATCACTTCGATTTGAAAGATGACAGTCTTTTTAACAGTAAAAGCAAGTGATTTTGAACCACAAGTAGAGACGGGCAAGCCCGCCTCGTGCTCGAATGCAAGGAGGTGTCCTATATTAATCTCTAAACTCTGGTCGTCAATCCCATCGGAAGCAGTGCGTTAACGGCGACACTCCGCGCAGCACGAGCGCAACTGAATAATGACGAAATGTTCAAGAGTCCTAGAAAACCTCTTCAAAAAATTACTCGTATTATTAGAACCGAGAACATTTAGGATTTGAGAGACTATGTTGAGTCATCAATAACCGCAAAAAAATTGGCTAGCATTGTTGTCATTCTCCACTGATTTCACTATGCGCAGCAGTTCGAGAATTTGAATAGAACTTCATCAATAAGCCAGTCCATTTCCTTTAGAAACGTGAAGGATTCTACGACTTTGAACCCTTCTGCGATCATACGCCGGCAATCTTTCAAAAGTGATAGGAGCTGTTTGATGAGTGTCTCGAAGGTGGGGGGGGGGGAGGGAAGGAGGGTGGCAAGTGGCCATGAAATGAGTCGTCGCTCGACTAAAGAGATAGTATTCGGTTCACGCTTTACCGAAGCCTCCAACCCTTCTGGTACCAGAGTCATTTTGGAGGATTGAAACTTTACCCGCGCTAAGCAATGACAACCTTCGCAAATTTTTGTATATACTTGGGGAAATTCGAAATCTCTTTCGAATATTCGAATATCGAAATGCGAAAATCGAAAATTTTGACTAATCGGCTATCGAATAATATTCAAAAAACGAAATTTTTGAATATTCGGTACTCGAAAAATATTCAAATACCGAATATCATTCGACTTTCGAATTTTATTCGGTTTCCGAGTATTATTCGAATAATTGAATGCATTATTAATAGTGAAAAAACGGCTTAATGATGAAATCAAGAGATTTGAAAACCTAGATGCACACTCCTATGACAGTGAAGAGATTGAAAATTCGAAGAAGATTGTCATTTTCAACCATGGCATCCCTGAGTGGTATAGTTTGTACCGAACACGATTATCCGATTATTCGACTAAATGATTCAAATGCGAATGATTCGAAAATTCGACTATTCGAGAATTTAGGATTTCGATTAATATTGATAGTAATATTAGGGACTTTTCATTTTCGAATATTATTAGAAAGTCGAATATTCGAAGATCTCATAATATTATTCGATAGACGAATATTCGATGGTCACCAATTTGATCATTCGATGTTCATCAAACATTCGGCGAGCACCAAATATTCGAAAATTCGACGACCATCGAGTAATCGAAAATTCGATATCCGTAGCAACACAAGGTAGTCCGGAAGTGTCTACACACTGTTTGGTCGCTAACATCTCTTACGAACGCTTTGCCAACCTGTGGGTACCATTCTGTAGGGCTGGCTTCAGCTTACATTTGCAACAAAAAACAAATCACCCATACTTTTCAGGGCTCGGCACGAGGTGGCTAGATGAAAATGGAAAAAACGAAGTCCCCCTTGACTTTTGGGAATTTTTACGAAGTCCCCTTTGACCCTCAACGAAATTTCCTCTAAAAACCTGAAAAATTCCCCAAAATCCCCCAAAAAACGAAACGTCGACTAAAAAACGGAAAAAAAAGGTCGCCGTCGCCAATTTTCCGTGTCTCTTCGGTCACAAAAACGAAACCCCCTTTGCTTTTCGTCCCAAAAACGATACCCAGCTTGCTTGTAAGCCACCTCGTGCCGAGCCCTGATACTTTTGAATATTGTGAGATCACGGCAGGAACATTTTGCATAGAGAAACACAACGAAACATGCCGTTTGAAAAAACTTCTCTGAAAAAATAAATTTTGTGGCACATTCTTTACGGATGCTGATTTTGCTACATAATTTCACGAGTTTTCAAGCTCTTTCATCGTGTAACCTTGTTTTTGTGCACCACAATGTGTTGCGATGTATTTGGCAAAGTTGTGGAAAAGCATTGCGCGTGGGGGCAAATTTGATATTTGAAATCAGTGACTAGAATCTTGATATAAGAGTTTTTCTTGGTGTCCTTCCTCAGGCAAAATATAGCCCCCAGTGCCTCGAAACCCTCTTCAATTCTTCTACGGTAATCCTACAACAATGAAGGCGATCGACAATTCGCTCCATAGTAGATCTAAGCGAAGCAGCTCTACGGAATGGTAACTAACTTTGGCAAAAGAATTTGTGGGAGGTTAACTAAGATCAAATAATGGCAATAATTGCTCAACTTCAACACAGGGACGCCACGATTTGTAATGATAATCTCCTTCAAATTACTAGAAGTTTCTTCGCAATCGTAGTCTTTTAGTTCTAAAGTCTCTTGATGTATCACTTTCGACTTTCGAGTAATATTCAGCATCCAATCTTACTCGAAAGTCAAATATTCAGAAATTTCGATTTTCGAATGTTATTCGATAGTCAAATATTTGAAAATCTTGATTTTCGAATATTCGACAATCGAATATTTGAAATTCTTGATTTTCGAATATTATTCGATCTTCGAACATTCGAAAACTTTTTTGAATTTTCCTAACTGTACTGAGTAGTGAAATCGAGCAACTACTGCAACATAGAATGACAACTCGTCTTGCATACTGTTTACTAGCTGGCTTACCCGGCTCCGCCGTGTGTTCCGAATAGAAAATTCCATTTCTGAACCGATCCGGACCAAACTTGGCACACATACACTTCGGGCCCCGGCGGGTGTCGTAGGCTACTTTTCGTCATCGATCGATATCGATTTTATCGATTTTTTGCAAAATTTGAGCGACGAGGCTGGGAGTTGGCACAGGGGGTAATCGAGCATGCTGATTACGAATAAAATAATGACAGGGCCGGGCGGAGCCGGGTAAGCCATCTAGTAATATATATAATAATATAAATATAATATATATTATATATAATTATATATAGTTATATATAATTATATATATAATATATATGTTAGGTTGAACCGAAAGTTCTGTCGCATTTCAAAAAATCATAAGTTCCTTCGCTCACGACGGTTTTGCGCAGTTCAAATTTTGTCTGAAAACGTAAAGCATGTAGTTTCTAAAAGCTCCTTGGGGAGTTTCTGACATGCTCAGGTGGCAGAGATAAAAATGAAAGAACGAGATCATCCGAAATTTGGAATTTTTGAGCAAGAATTCTAGAGATTCGGAAACAGTGCGGTAAAATCCAGAAAAGCCATTATGCTAATTTTTCTTACATTTGATTACTATCTGAGTCAAGTTTGTGCTGATCGAGCCCTTCTTTCAAAAGTTATGATTTTTTGAAGAATAATGCCGAAAAATCAATTTCCTAAGAGTTCTTAAGAAATGGATTTTTTTCATAACTTCTGAAAGAAGACCTCGATCAGCACAAACTTGACTCAGTTAGTAATCAAATGTAAGAAAAATTAGGATAATGGCTTTTCTGGATTTTATCGCACTGTTTCTGAATTTCTAGAATTCTTACTTAAAAATTCCGAATTTCGGATGATCTCGTTCTTTCATTTTTACTAGTGAACCAGCATTTGAAGGTGCTATAGCATGCGCGCGCTACGGGACCGCCACGTGGTTTCCCGCTATGTGCACATTTTTGAATTGCGCTTACGATTCTTTATATATTAGAATCTCTGCCACCTGAGCATGTCGGAAACTACCCAGGGAGCTTTTGGAAACTACATGCTTTACGCTTTCAGATAAAATTTGAATTGCGCAAAATCGTCGTAGAGCGAAGGAACTTATGATTTTTTGAAAATGGTGCGACAGAACTTTCGGTTCAACCTAATATAATATCTGACTTACCTATTCAAGGATTTTAACCTATTTTTAACTATTTTTTGAAAAATTCATTTCATACTTCTCTTGAAAATGCTGTAATAATAGGTGGATATAGTAAACAAACAGCAATGTAATTAACTGTTTGGACGTCTTCAACTAGCTTTCAGGCATTTTTTAAAATGATTTTTTGAAGAACTCGTCAATCTTGCGAGGTCGTATGATACGCAAACGCTTCAGAATAGACTGAGATCAGACACTATTTTTTTTTGCAAAGCAAATGGGCGTTCATCGCTTAAGATATTAATTCTCGAGTCCTCGAGTACAGCCCGGGATGTTTCAGAATCAAAAATTATGATAATTTTATCCCACGGGCTTCACAAATCAAAAAGAAAACAACTTCCAAAACGGGAATGAAAAGCTGCATCGAATGACACCCTGACTGCTCGTCCTTTCATGTTACATGAGGTTTGTTTGTGATAACCAAATATGCTTTACCATTGGAAAACAATTGATTTATTTTAAAAAGCTCGCTTTAGATGGCAGATAAATTGCATTGTAGTGCACTTTGTTTACCCTATCTAATTGTGATCAAAGCTCTTCCAGAAGTTTGCAATGCATTAAAATAGCTAAAGCAAGAGAAGAAAAATGCCATGGGTTGAAGATGTGACGATTTTTCGAGCGATCATCAAATTGAACAAAAACATCGCCGCTAAAGAGGAAGATTTTGCATTGAACACTGTTCAGAGTATTCGTTAATCATTATTCCAAGTGATTTGAGTATGGATCTGAAAAACGACACGAACTTAGGACCAACCTAATATTTACTTTCAGTTACAATGATACTAAGGAAGGAGCAATGGTCAGGAAAATAATATCATTCGCTAAAGTACCCTGGAATCGTTAACGTTTTGCTTCGATAATTTGCTAACAATCTAATGAGCTCTAGATTCTACACTGGATCATAGCAGTAACAGTGCAGAAATTCTGGGAATAGGAACGCAACAGCTTGTCTTAAAAAATCTCTTGAAGGCTGATCGATTTTTGAAAATAGAGCGAAAACGGGTGACGTAAGTCAATTGTCAATCTAAGTCTGCGAGTTTGAGAATGTTTCACACTAGCATTCAAAGCTCAAACAATTTCAACAAACAGCTCAATCAAAGCACAATTTTACCACCTAGGCCACTCATGCAAACGCAACCTATAGTTGAGGGGGAAAAGGAAAGAGACTTCATATTTTTAACATCAACAGGTGTACTCGTCACATTTCAAAAATTAGCGCATTTCTATTACTTCTTCGGAAGCTTTCCTCTATTCGCAGACCAGATAAGGATCTCAAAGGCTATAGGTGACAGGAGCTTTGTCTGTGGTCCGCCTAGTTCTAGAACAGTGAATAGAAAGTGAACACTACATCACGCTTTGCACATTAGGTCTTCAACCTAAGTACTTGCATACTCGGAACAGGAAGGATAATAAGAAACACTGTGAACATGTCTTAAAGAAGTTCTAAGTGAAATGAAAGTCTTAGGCAAACGTCTTTATCAATAGTGTTTTCATAAGTCGTCATATCCACATATGCCTAATATAATCGTGTTTAGCATAGGATACGAGGACTATGACAAGAACGATGGGTCCCAAGGATGACCTCAGAGATAAAGAATACCAACGCCGTCATTGATCCATTGATTGCAAACGGGTGTGCGGGCTAACATTTTGCGACAGTGTTTATCGCATTGCGTTTCGTGAAAGGGAAACGTCGCCAAGATTCCTAGATGGCCTGTTGTAGAAGTCGCAACATGTGTAACAGATGACCATTCGGATTGCATGATAGTGACAGCAAAATGCATGCAGATAGAAAGTGCAGACCACTACAATACCGTTTTCGAATGTAACCAGAGCTTGTGATCATGCTGTAGACGCGCATAGGGCTTCTGATAGAGCTTTGCATCCTGAGAATTCTCTCACTCGTTTCTTAAGGCTACCGATGACAGCTAATCCAATCGCAATCAACTCGTCGAGCAAACCTTCTCAACTAGACCACGCAGAAAGAAGAAAAAATGAGGCACTCAGCTCGAGTAGACGTAAGCTGCTTACATCCGTGCTGCGAGTCGCTCTGTGTAAAAATAAGCACCAGACAGCAGAGAAAAGAACATGAGAGATGAGTGATGTATCAGTTTTGTCAGACTGTTCATTTCTTGTTGGCATATGAACCCAAACAGTATACCAAGTGAAAACGAACCACACAGGATATCACCATAACGCTAATCACTTTTCTATTGAGACCTTATAGATTTCCACGTCGAAAGCCATCTTTCATATGCAACAAAGCGCCGGACTGTAGTGGCAAACCTTACGCCTACTCGAACATGGGGACACGATGCATGACAACTTCCCAACCTTGTCAGTGTTTCGCAGCGAACGTCTTTTCTAACTTCTAAGCCGATCTAACAAAGAGAGATGTAAATCAAGCGTGCCTTGGGCCGAGTAGAAAGAACTCGTGCCGCTAGCAACCGTTGCTTCCGGATGCATGGTGCCCGTTAGTGTCACCCACATTGCCAAGCGAGTAAGATCCTAAAACATGCTTCGTACCCTTCTCAAGCTTACTCCTCGCCATGTGGCAAATCTAGCTACTCTGCTCTACAAGATGCAGAGAATTGACACTATAGGAGAGCACTTTGGACGTGTCGGCGCACAACAAACAGTTCTGGAACACCCAGTAAAAGGGCAGAGAAAGAAGTGAAAATAATGATAAAATTTCCACGTAAGTGTCTCAAGTTCTGGAGGTGATATGAGAGGGGATTCATTTGGAAAATGGTGGGCAAAAGATCAGCGAATACAGAACGGCCAGTAGATGTTTAGTTGCAAGGTCGAATACGACCGCACGCACGTTCTTAGGCCTCCGACATGGACGATGCGCATATGTCGGCAAGCGGAAAATGAGGCCAGCTTTTGCATACACTTCTATAACGGAGATACTCCATAACTACATACTGCGTGCGGGCACTATCGGAAGGCTTTTTGTGTCGTGAACAATACTTTCCAAATAAGGTCACTAGCAAAAGAACCCGTGTGAACTCAATACAGGGCGCATTAGAGAGCCTATGAGATTGAGGAACTTTAAACGAAACACTTTTCGGCTGATGAAAATCACCTTTCTGAAGCTCTCCTCGAATTGTCGAAGCTGGAAGCAGTTCATCAAGCGTTTTTCATGCTTCGCCCAGAATGTGTCAAATGATCGCTCCGTTTCCTCTGAAAAATGAAAGAGTGCATGAAGCTCAGGCAAGATGAAAGCATGGTGATGAGAAGCTTTCGAGGTGTTGCCATAATGCGTTTCTTACGAAAATTCGATACAATCGAGGCATACGACAGCAGGAAAAGCAGGAAGCTTGCAAGAGGTAGAATCAAGTCTATAATGGTTTGAATAAGAAGAATTCGAGCGGATTTTCGAAGTGTGAAGCCCTTTTAACGATTATAACAAAGGATGCAATGTTTGGTCGCTCGAAAACCTCTTTTGTTCAAAATGTCGGCTCCCCCCTTGGAATCTGTCGCGGCGAGTGGCTGAAGCGATGACGAAAAAATTTATGAGAATCCCTAACCACAATCGAAAAACATAGACACAACCTGAAGTAAGATTTTTGCTGCTCATTTTCGGTATGTCGTTGCACTGCACTTTGAACTTGTAGTCGCTGCTTGATTATCCCACGAGATTTTTCATACTTTCTTGCGAGATGTCAAGCTTGTGCTCATACACCCAATTTCAATATGAAGCACGCGAGAAAACGTCACAGATGAATTAAATTTAGACATGGATTGCCGTCAAATTTGTATATGATCGGTTTTACAACGTTGATAGCTTGCTGGAAAGAAATACATTGGGGTTTTTCATCTGACAGCTCCTTTCAAGCGTCTGTCACTATGAGAGACGACTCGCCGGAGGATTTTCAAGGCTTGAGTGCCCAAAACCTGATTGCTTGGATTTGTCTGATACACTCGGACTTCTCCCTTCAGCTTTTTATACATATTTCCGCGAGCTTGATTTTGACTTTTGCGCTTCTCCATATCAGCAAAGCGGCGAGATGTCTTGTGACGAGATGTAGCAGGAAATAAGCGATTGCTTTTTTGGTACAAAGAAGCACTGGAAATTCTGATAAACACTGCTAAAAACCATGCGTTGACCCTACAATTGCTGTTGACTTGGAATTACGATGGTGTTTTCATGTACGAGCAGATATTTAACACGAAAGATGAGAGAACGAAGGAAGGCGGGAACAAACCTAGCTGGACGAGCATGCGCTCGATGGCCGTCACGTTGTGTAACCTGGTTGGACTGAGGAGTTCGTGTTTGGGTTTCGACTCGATCTGACGCACAGCGCGCAGCAGCGACAATCCCTTTCGCACGGATATTCGAAAGTCCTCCTAACAATCACCAGCGCTCTCACTGTCCCCTTGAGATGTAGGAACTAAGATCATTGCATACCTTTATGGCGTCTCTTTCAGCCGTCTGAATCTGCAATATCCTTGCAGTAGTCTCGACATCGTTTGGCAGTTCCGTCTCACGCAAAACACGTCCAAAATCACTCAAAGACTGAGCGATAGCTGATGCAGAGGACTTCATGCGCTCGATATCCTAAACAATCGCCGGCTAGCTTTTGAATTCCATTCTAGCCTGAACTTTGCGCTGCACGCCTCGCCGTCTCTCCGTAGCAAGAGAGGACCAGGAACTTGACGGAGCTTTTTACAGCGCTCAACTAATGATGCGATCAAGTGCTTCATAAACAAAGAACGCGTTGTATTCTTCAGTTCTAGCTCCGATTGCAAGAGCTCAGACTGTATGTTGCAGTCTAGCTTACCATCCTATGCTGCACCCACTCCAGATGATTGTACTTTATCAAGCCACCGATATCCATCGTAAGCTGCTCCGCCCTTAGAAAGCGCCTCAATTCGACCGAAGAGTCGCAAGTGATTACCTGAAGCGATTGGTCTGCATGCTTCACTCACGAGATAAAAATCAACCTTAAAGGAACAATTCTCGGAGATGGCACGGTATCCTACTTCCAACGCTCGCTGCAGAACTCCCTCCGGCTTCAGCAGGAACAGCACTCGAATTGTTCCAGGGAAGAACGACTGAAAAAGTTCACTTGCACGGGTACATGAGCGGTAGAAGAAAGAGCTTATGGAATGACTGGAGTAATGCTGTTTACAAGCTCGGTCTCGTACGGCGCACATGTGCACCACTGGGGAGATCTTACATTAATCAGAAGTGCACGTCAACTTACAGCTGTGTGCATGGAAATCCCTTGTGAGTATTGACATAAACAGCTGGAAGTTAGTCGAGCTTTATTCTCTTTATATTTCATGGCATCCTGCTCTACCTTTGACTACATAGTACTCTATATTGCCACACATTACTCTCAATCATCATCGACAACACTGTCGTTTTCTGATTCAAGTATTGAATTCATCAGCGTAAGGGACATCATAATTGATAAGGTCACGACAAGATCTTTCGTAATTTATAGGGTTCCGACAAGATCTTTGCAGGAATTTAGCGCAAGACACTAGGAGTGACGTGTATTAGACAAGCGGTAGTAGGCAAAGAAATTCTTTGTAGCCCGAATCAACTTTCGCCAGCATGACGTAATTCGTTAACATGAATTTCGAGCCCTTTGGAATATTTGCAGAGGGAACAAGCATTATCTTTGCCATGGTCAGCTTGTCAAAATGGGGCTCCGGACGTACAGGGCTTATCAAACGCAGTGTCGCTTGCATCAGCATCTTCACTCGCGCGCTGGACTCTGCACCTCTTACGCGAGCATGCTCTCTGGTCACTTTCACAGGGCGAGCGTGGGAGAGGCGGAGCCTCAACGATTGAAAGTGATTAGAGAGCACGATCGCATAAGAGACGCAGAGTCCAGCGCGGGAGTGGAGATGCTGATGCAAGCGACACTGCGTTTGATAAGCCCTATAGCTCGCAGTTTCAGTCGCCGCGCGATTCGGCGATTTACCAAACGTCTTGAAGTCCAACGCGTCAGCAAATGCATATTGTGGATAACTATCGAAGTTATTGAAAATGCTCACCCTTCCGTGTACTCAAAATGCGCTTACTAAACAGCTGGATCGATGCCAATTCGCGTGGCGACTGGAATCGCTTGAGGTAAACCCGGGGTCCAAAGAGGTCATATTTCAAAGGTGAGCTAGCAAACGTAGAAAATGAGGGCTGGATATGGAAAGCTTACCGTTATCTGCAAAAAAAGTGTCCTGACAGAAGACCATTTATCGTTGCGTCGGTCCACAATAACCACAAAACCTTTATGGCTGTCTTCCAGTCTGAACAATTTGTTTACCACTATGATTCGACCCGCAAGAGGAAGAACTTGATTCAGCCAACACGCATATGTTTTAAAATTAGCGCAGTGATCTCACGGTGGCACTTGTAGTAAGTAGGTTATGAGTGTTTGATAGTCCTCGAATGACAATACAGTTCGTGAGTCCGGAAACGTCACGATCGACATGCCCTCGTTCGTTCGAGCCCCTAAATATGTAAAAACTAAGGAATTTATACTCAAGTGTACAACAGTTTTCAAGTGCGTCGTGTTCTCATTTATATGTCGAGGACATTTCTTGATGATTATTTGTTGTACCCATCTTGCTTTTAGCGCTGTTACGAAGCTCCACCTACCAGTGAGAAACGCGTAGCGAGAGGCTAGGATATCTGACATGTCCTTGATTCGGACCCGATCCTCCCCGACCGTCAGGAAGCCATCTGAAAGCAGAAACAGAAGTTCAAGATGCAGCCATTTTAGGTCGCTTTTGCACCATGTAGCTATAACTTCTTCATCCAATGAAAGGATAGGAATCTGTATAACTTTCAGTATTTCCGTAGCATTCTAGACATTTAGGACAACTAGGTATCGAAAGTATGGGGCTAGCAAGCGTATGAAAAAAAGGAATCATTCTGTCTTACAATTAGCACCCTATTGCATTCAATTAGAAAAAACAGGCTACTTCTCTTTGGAGAATTCGCTTGCGACGGATAAATTGCAAGTCTCACAATAATTCTCGCATACATCTGGTTTGCAAGAAGTATTCTCGCATCTGCAGCAAATGCAAATCAATTTTCTCGCCCAATTAGGTAGAATAATATGAAGTGGGAATGTTTTTCTCTCACAGATTCTATTAAGTGCCTAGCCACTAAAAGCGCTGTCGCCGCAGAGCAATTCCGAGGGTCTCTTCATAATTGCTGCATAGCAGACGTCTATCCGGCATAGACTAGCTCTAACCCTCAACACAAGCTTCAAATGTTGAACATCATGCAGCGAGTCAGAAGCTTCATCTCCTGATTGATTTGAAAAATGATCTAATGACCAGCAAAGTTTCCAATACTAGATTAGACTGAAATTGAAGGCATAGGCACAAAAACAATAAGAAAATTGCAAATCATTGATTGAATTCAGTAACTTCGAAAAGCCTGACGCCGGGATGAAGTGACCGCTTACCCCAGTCCTCGTCGTTGGCAGCATCGCTATTCTCACTGATAATATCTTCGACGATGCTGGCTGAGAACGGATGAGCAGATCGTTCCAGCACCGACTGGTAGCCGGAGTCTTGTAGGAACTCAGCTCCTTTGAGAGCAGTCTATAAGAAATTGTTTCCTTAGAAAGGAGACATTTCGAAGTTCCAACCCACATTTAAATCTTTGAGATCGTAGTCCATGTCATAAAAGAAGACAGGCGCTTCGATGAAATCGTCACTTGCATGCGGTGGAGAACTGGAAGAGCAATAGCTAAGAAAACGGCCCTGCGGCAGGTAACGGCGGGTAACGGTGTGGTCGAACTGGTTGGATTGCGTAGAGCGATGAGTTTACTATGCGTTCAACAATAACATAAAGTCAAATTTCGCGCGTAGATTGAGCATGCTAAGGAGAACTTCGTGAACCTTGAGAGCGTCAAAAGGTCGCTGAAAAAAAGCGGGAATTTTCGAAGAGTTCTGCTTTTTGCGATACTTTTCAGCATTTTGTTGGTGGACTTGCATTTCGGATGAGAACAAAGGTCAACCAAGTTTGAACAGTGTCGTCCTATTTGCTTGGCAAACATAGATTCTTGACCATAGTAGCTATGTGTGCGCAAAAGGTGTGAAGGACGAGTTCGGTCCGCGCATCTCTGCAACCGCTAATTCATGCGACCCTACGCCTCTGATCCCCTCGCGATTCCACAAGGCTTGCACTGTATTAAAGGGGTAGAAATATTTGGTATATGTCGAGAGGCATCTCCCTTTATTGCCGGCTGGCCCCCAAGACCAGCTACTTGGCGTACTATAGCCTATAACAAAATCGCAAGTTGCTAGGGGGATGTATGCATAGTCTCATGGATATAAAATTATCGATTTTGGAGTTAAAGGTTGAAGGATAGATGTTCATAAATGCAGGTAACAGCAAGTCGTGAACAATTTGATTAGTTTATGACGTCAAGTCTGAAGACTCTTCGTCTGCAATTTCGCACAGTATAACACCTACTGTTCGAGTAGATGACCGGGAAAGAAATTGATCTCTTGACTGTCTCCCGAAATTTATGCAATCACACCCATACTCGCTAAAAATACGAAAAAGATTTTTTGTTACATTGTATGAGTGCGCTTTGATGTGAAAAAAGTACATGAAAGTCTTATCAAAATAATTCCCAAACGAACGTTCGTGCCTAATGGATGCGACTATTACCATTCCCCTTCTAGAAACTTTCTCCACTCACATACGAAAATCATAGGAAAAAAAATGTTGCACTAAATGAGGGGAGAATTCTGATGACGTCTGGTTTTTGCATAGATCTCGTACCCCGACGGTAGGTTGGATTAGCGTTTCGTGCGAAACACGCTTAGACTTGAGGTAAGCCTAGCTTCGATTGTGGCCAATCCGAGATTTGAGTAGCCGATATCGCAGCTGATGATGCGAACGTGCAGTGTCCAGCACGCAGCCGTCATTAGCTGCTATTATCGCTGGAAGACGTTTGTCTGCTCGGCGTCGGTGTACTTGTATTGAACAACACCATGTAATGGCAGCGTATAGATTTCGTGGAAGAAAAAAACTGCACCGCAGTGTTGGACGCGTTGTTCTCCAAAAACATTCAAAATGCGGGTCCAGCCAGTTCTATATGATTATTTGGGCTGCGCATAGAAAGCTATTCGGCGGTTGGGGTGTCATAAACAAACAAAATGAAGTAGAAGAGGTGGTGCGGTGGGAACCATTGACTTCTACAGGAAATCACACTTGCACGTTGCAATCGGGACGTTGACATGAATTCATTGCACTTGGTTAATGATAATGACGCAAAAACAAAATATATGAGAGAAGAGGACATGAAGAAGTCGATGTGATGATTAGTACTTTCGCCATCGAAAGAGAAAAGAGTTGAAAAAATAAGTCACGCCGATGGCTAAAACGCATGAAGCGTGCAGCATAATGCAGAAGCGAGAGAATTTGCATGAACCACCCACATCTAGCAATCTTCTCTGCCTTAGTTTCTCATTGTTATCTATGATGAACAAGTGTTATCCTACAATTTCTTCATTTGTCAGTTATGTATCTCAAAGTGGTCGGACAGCTCCGATGATTAGAAGGATGTTCGCGTCAAGCACGGTGCTACGGCAAAGCGGCGATTTTTTGAGAAGACGGCGCACGTATGAGGACAGCTTAGCGCCATTTAGACATAGCAAGATTATCAAGGATTTGGAGGAATAGGTGTCGTTGAATGTTAAACACACGGCATGCGCATAGTAGCTGACAATACAAGTATGACGGCTAAACTTACACAGCACTCGACGCATTCGGTATGGGATACGGCATGGTGACGTCGCTCGAACTACTCGCCGCCATGCTACAGTAGCATGACGACGGAGCGCCGTCCATTTCAAAAAACGGATTCGAAAAGCTTCTTGCTCCCGCCAATTCGGAAAAATTTTCCGCCTGAAACCGCCGTAATGAGTGCTTGAAAACAAAATATTCAAATGAGAAAGCGGGTAAAGTGGAGAGGCAAGCTCGAGCACTCCGATCATTGCATTGCTCGATTAAGCAGGGTGGTGTGAAGGCAGTGTGGAGCGCGTAGGGAACCAGGTGAGTCAACACGACATGCTTAGCCGAATAGTACTAGGCTAGCGTGGAGTATTGTGTAGCGTATAAGGAGTGCAATTTACTACGGGCGTCGACGCTGATCTCATTTCCAAAGGTTCTCAATGTATCAACGAACCCTCGAAGTCCAAGTAGCAGTACGCGTTTTGCTTAAATACAGGTGATCTCCTGAATAGCTGCTGAGGATGACATAAATTCAAATGGAAAGAGCTCAATTGCTATTTTTGCTTACGGCGGTCTCAACTCAACGTCTCAAATATCGGAACAATTTTGTCGCAGCAACGAGAACAATGAAAAGAAATGCTTTTTTGACTTAACATAGGAACCTCATCGCGATTTGATGTGTTTCTTTCACAGTTCTCGTAATTTACTCCGGAAGCAGAATTTGCTTTAGTTAACTGTTTTGGAAGATTGTAACGCCAAAAAAAGACATGGCTGTTGAGGTAAAAGTCAATGAATCAAACAAGTCTCCGAATACACGAGTACTGCATGCTTACAAATAGAGTATTTCCGGTACATTTGACTGTTACGATGAATACAGGCACTCAATCGTACATATGTGTGTCTATGTACAACGATGAAAGGTAGCAACCGGCCTAAGGGATCCTTGAGAAAGCAGAGAAGGCACAAAGCTTGAGAAAGTGAATGCTAGGCGACGCATATACATCGGAGGGGAAGCACAAGCAACGAAACTGCAGAATCCCTAATGAAGTTTCCCGTAGTAACAACTCTCATGCATATTCTCAAACGACCGCACTGCACACGCCAACGATGTCAAGGAATCACCGAATGTGAAAGGAAACGGCACAAGAGTTACTACCGAAACCGAAGATCGCTCGAGGGTCAGGATTTCCGCCGGCTTTGGCAGTAGTGTCTCTGTTGACTCGACGACCAATAGCCGAGGGCGATGTGGAGCGAGCGTGAAAGAAGGAATGCGTATCGATCCCGGTCCTCATTTGCCTTTTCGATTCGCCCTGCCTCCCCTATTTAGAGGCTCTCTCGGCCACGGTTATCGTGTGCCATTCGCCCACTCCCCACCCTTCCACGCAATTCCGGCGGGTCATCCGAACAATCGTTGCTAATGCTCGGTGCTCTCAGCACTCCAACCTCTCCTCGCACAACGAGCCACTTTCACGCAGAGCAATTGCATGGGGAAACCGTGACAGCGAAGACAACCACAAGCGATCCTTTTTTTTCACTCGAAGGGGGATGACAGAAAGCAGATAGCGACATATGCTTCCCCCATCCTGAAAATCTAGTAAGCATCGAGTACAGTGTCGATTTCCAAGACATTGAAACAACGTGTAAGCAGTACCACAGTCGAAGACTTGACTAGCAGAAAATGAAGGCTTCCAGCGCGGAAATAGGTAATCGGAAAATAACCACATCATCTCCAATGAAGTTCGTTGCATAGTTCATACTGAGGGGATGAAATCATCGTGTTTTTCGAGAACTACAGATTACCAGAATGTTGTTATAGAAGCAGCAAGCGCTGGAACGTTACATCATGATAGAGCATATGACAATACTAAAATCTGTAGAACTGAGAAAGCTGAAATCCTCGCTACTCATAAACATGAGGACGCTTGCGCGCAGTAGCCCACTAATCTATGAACAAACTAGGTCGATGCAAAAGGAGTAATTAGCGAGCAAGCTGGCAGCTGACATGCAGTTTGCATCAATTTTTGATACAGAGCATAGCCATCACCCATCGAAGAGTCCTCCCTGACGTTGGCCTACAGCGGCTGCACCAAATCATTAAGGTACGACTAACAAGGGCAGTTTCCTTATGCGTGGAAAAATTATACGCAGTTTGTGGGTCCTTGAGTCGCCAAGTGACATAGTCAGGGCCCGGCACGAGGTCGGCAAATGACAAGCTGGAAATCGTTTTGGAGCCAAAAAGCAAAGGGAAAATCGTTTTTGCCGGGTCCGGGGCGGAGCCCCGGAAAAAAATTGATAGTTCATGCTCGCTACTTATCTTGACATGTTATGTGCCTCAACAGGCGAACACTGGAGTTCGCGCGCGTCAAACCGCGCCGTCGCTAATTGCCGCAGGCGCGACGTCGCCCAAGCGATGCTATTTGTAACAGCATACATGACTAGTTCTCAATGTATGTGTAACGATATGACACCAAATTTTGTATGCGAACGGAGAGAGGCTAGTGGAAACATAGTATGAAAAATTATGAGAAACTTATGTGAACGGAACGAGTAATTAGCATTTTTTCCGAGAATTTCGCAAAACTGGTAAATGAAGATGTGAATTCAAACGGCTCGTTTAAATGCGCAGATGAACGATATGGTATGAAACTTGGTAAGTAAATGCACACGGGCTTGCAGGGCTTAACTGAGGAGTTTCATTGAAAAATTATGTGACTGAAGGTTGTGGCAAACTTTTATCTGAAAATTTTGCGCTACCAAAGAAATGGAAAAATGGCTCGTTTGCAACGCAGAGGTAACGAAATCGCGCGGGATTCGGTGTGTATATGCGCAATAGGGCTAAGTAATAAAGTATGAAATATTATGAAAAACTTATGTGAATGAAGAGTTTCCTTAACTAATTTCCAAATTAGGTCGGCATTTGCCGACCTAATTCCCACCTGAGGTCGGCAAAACTCTCAATTCACATAATTTTTTCAAAACTTTTACATAAATCTGTTGTACACCTAAAGTTTACTACATGGTGAAATTTTGGTTCCGAAGCTCCTCCTCTTGTCCTTGTTAGAGCCCAAAACCGCATTAGCAGCCTAGCTTTCTAAGACGGAAAGCGCGCCCCAGTCAATCGATACGCGCGGGAACGGCGTCTCTCATTCCTATCACTGCGTTTCTTTGATATTTTCTCATTCCTTAATCATTTTTCTTGCTTACTTTTCTTCCTGTTTCCTATCTTAATACAGCTGAGGAGTAATTTGAGGAATTTGAGCAATTTGGGCGCTTTTGAGCGCTTTTAGGCGAAGTGTGGCCGGTAATCTCGTCGCACAAGCACAAAACGTCATTTTTGGGCTCAAGGGGGTATTCGTAAAATTTATTGGGATCAAAGGGGAATTCGTTCTGGAAAACCCCGTTTTCCCACCTCGTGCCGGGCCCTGGACATAGTGCTGCAAACTCAGAGAGATGAACGCAAATGCAAGTTGCAGGAATGGAAGTGTGGACTGGCGAACGAATTAAAGGTTAACCTGCCGACAACGTGCTTGAGATGTGCACATACAAGTCATGATGTTTCCTGGCTCGTCGTTCACTCTCAGAATGAAAGCAAAAAATTAGAGGCGTCATGAAAAAAGTATAGCTATGTTGAGCTTCGAGTGAACTTGTAAGCGGCAAAAATTTGTGCTGAGTTCCAATCTATAGCATTACATAATGGTGCGGCTTTGTAACTTCATAGCAATAAATATACACACGCAACAATTAATAGAATCTGGATGGTATTGAGTACTAGATTTTCGCAAGGGGAACAGCGCACACATGTAACAGAATAGCGGTGAGAGTCGTGCCGCTCCAATAGGAACGACAAGGTCTAGGTGGGCCGACCGATACGCTCCCTGTGAAGTAGAGCGACTTTGAGTGCTCCGATCGGAATTATGAGGAGATATATTTGGGACAGCACGTGCGAGACGCACTTGAGCGCGCTAAAGTCTCGCATGCAAGAGGCTTACAGTGTGAATGACCTTTTGGAGAACGACACAACCACAACCCTCAGTTCGTAGACGGACGTGGAGCTTCTTTGTCAGACTCAATCTCATGCCCATTTCATCTTCATACACACAAGGAATGATAGGTAATATCAGGTTGGATAATAGGCAAATTATGGCGTTTTTGACAGTTTATTAAGACGTCACAGACTGATTTATGTACGACTGAGAGTCGAATGATTTACTCTGCTCAAGCATATGTTCAATTCTTACGACAAAACGGGGCAGGAAAGTGCGTCTTGATTTCCTTCTGAATTTTCGAAAAATTAGGTAAGGAATAGGAAATGGGATATAGATATAGACCGCACACACACGATTTTGATTGCAACCATCTACAGTCATAGATGGACAAAGTTAGGAGGTTGGAACTGCTCAAAATTTGATCCCCACGCTGAAATGCCTGATTCGCACATTTTTGGTTGTAGATTTATGAACAGTTGGCCACATCTTCATAAAGTTCGCCTTTTAGCCAAATAATCAACAAAATTACTCGTGTGCAACAGCACAGCTCAAAAACGAAATCCAAAAAATCGAAGTAGTGACTTTTTAGGAGGTTAGCCCGGGGCGCAACTGCTTTACTCATATAAAATTCGAAATGACAAAAAAGTAAAGGCTTGAGACTGCCTTGTTCAAAATACTCTGGCAAATAGTAGCTGTAGTAGAACGCGTTGAGTCGTTGACCATTTATTACAAAAACACAGAGTTCCCTCTGCCTATCGGCGTACATGCCGAGGGTTCACTAGGAATAACTAGAGAACAACACACACAAATATATCAAAGTGCGGCGGGTACGCCGCAACCACAGAGACCATATCGACTTAGCCTATAGTGAGTGAGCAAGTTCCAATATAAGAAACGGCTCTACAACACCTCCCTCCTAAGATGAACAACGGTACATCTTATAATAAGGATCTACTTGTAGACGTTCTGGTGGGCGACGATGGCGACTTGGTCTGGTTGATGTCGGTGGCGTAGACGAGGTGGCTTGGTGTTCAGCAGCATCCATACCATTGTTACGTCGGCCCTCGTCGGGGATGGACTGTGTTGAGTCACGATGTCGATCCATACTTGCTGCGCGGCGCATCTGGTTCGCATGTCGTCTCCATAACTGATCGTCTTCAGTAAGCACGCCATATAATGCTTCTCCGTAGCGTTTCTTCACTCGAGCTGGAATCCATTTTTCACCTCCAGAGCGAAAATCACGTACCCAGACGGACTCTTGTGGCTGGTACTCCTTTTTTCGTGCTCCATGGTGACGGTTAAACTGCTTCTCCATGTTTTCGTTGCACATCTTTCCTTCTTCTTTGTACTCTTCGTTTAACACCGACAGCGAGGTCCTCATCTGATGTCCCAGCAGCAGCTCGGCAGGCGAACGTTGTCCTGGAGCAGTTGTACAAGGCGTCCTTCGATGAGACTGCAGAAACTCCGCTAGCTTCTCTGCCGTTCCTCCCTCCTTAATTTTCTGCGAGGTTCTCTTGAAGAATCCACAAACCTCTCCGCTTGTCCATTTGATTGTGGATGGAATGGAGTGAACGCATATGCTTGATTCCTCGCTCTTCACAGAAATCTTGGAACTTCTTTGCTGTGAACTGCGTGCGTCCCATTACCCGGCACGATCACTTGCGGATTTCCAAATCAAGCGAATAGAGATCTGAGTTCTCTCAGGGTAGCTGTAGTTGACGATGAAGGCATCTCAAAAACTTCTGGCCATTTCGAGTAAACGTCAACTACGACGAGATACATCTTACCATTCAGCGGCCCTGCATAGTCAGTATGAAGTCGATTCCATGGTTCCCGTTCCATTTTCCATGCATGCAGTACAGTCTTCACTGGCATCTTGGCTGCTTCTTGACATGTCCTACAGCGGCGCACTGGGTCCTTGATGTCTCTGTTGATGCCCTTACTCTTCATGCACTTTCCCAGGTCGCTGTTGAAGACTTCCCCATGCTTTTTCTTCAAGTCGGCGACCACTTCGGCTCGGATTTTCTCTACGCTAGTCACCTTTCTGCAATGGTAGTTGTCCTTCAGCTTTTTGTATGCCGGCAGCTGGATGCACCATTCCAATCCAAGTAGATTTGAGCCTTCGGTGACGTAGCATGTGCCCTTTCCATGAACCATCTTCCCTGTAACTCGATCTCTGATGGAAAAGCTGGTCGAGAATTTACCGTAAATCTGCATCGGCGTCCCGTCTGCAGTTTTGACTGGCATAATACAGGTTTCCAGAGAAGGGGATCCCATCCGCTTCCAAGCTATACGCGATATCAAGGTTATGTCTGCACCCGTATCCAGCTGGAGCTTGAGAGAACATCCCTTGACTATGACGTCGAGGTAAGTCCGTGCACGCTCGGCGTCGAATGCGACCACACTCTTGCACTGTCCTTTGCGACCAAAGTGTTTTGCGCCTGTCCTCCGTCGCTTCTTCCGACCAGTGCTGCCAGATTGAGGGCACTCTCTTCTGAAATGTGGTCCTCCGCAGATGAAGCAATTTACCTTTTTCTTTCATACAGCATGGATGTTGCGCGTGCCTTCCATGTCTGTATTATCCATTTTCAGGGCAGTGATTTCACAGTCCGTGACGAGGTCCTCGATTGTCAACGGTGCTTCGTCCATGTGAGCGTCCAGTCGACGAATCATCCGAAGGCGCACTTCCCTAAGTGAGGGATCTTGAAGACCTGCTACGAACTGCAGCGTCTTCATCGCCGTGTAGTCAACCTCTTTAAGCCGGGCATCCTCGTCCATCCGCTTGATGGTGTTGGCGTACTCGCGGAACGGTACGTACGCTGGCGTAAGCGGAGGGCAGGTTATCCTCAGGCACTCATACCGTCTCCTGATGAGCGTCTTCTTGGAGGCGAACAGCTTTTGGAGATTCGCGATGGTAGTATCGAAGTCCAAGTCGCTTGGTTGCGCAGGCAGCACCTCATCGGCATACTTCCGGTATGCTTCTTCATCCAGCTTCATTAGAATCAAGTCGCGCTTCTTCTGATCCGAAAGCTGGGAGTCTCGAATGACCGGTCCATACCTGCCATACCAGTAAGCAAAGGTGTTACCTGCTTCTTCGTCTGAGGTAAATCTCTGCACGTCCTTGCTCAACTGATCATATTGCTCCTTGCTGGCGTCCTGGACGGTTACCCTTTGGTTACTGGTCAAAGCAGTGACCAACGTCTTCATTTGATCCTGTTGTGCTTGCAGTTGCACTTGCATTTGCTCCTGTAGAGCTTGCGACTGCATTTGCATCTGCTTCTGCTGAGCTTGCCACTGTGCTTGCATATGCTCCTGTTGAGCTTGTATCCGGGCCTGCATCTGTTCTTGTTGAAGCTGCGTATGCAGCTTCATTTCTTCTTGTTGGAGCCGCATTTGATCGACCATGACCGAGAGGACCTTCCCCAGAGAGTCGCCATGCCGCTCTTCACGGGCTTTCGGCATGGTAGACCTCTCTGGTGTCGACGAAGTCTTCTGCTAAATCGATAAGCTTCTCAGCAAAGCTTACTTATCTGGCTGTCCTCGACCAGTGACAGCTTCTTCCTCGACTCGAGCTGCAGCGCTTCTTCTTCTTGGACGATGGAGACTTCCGGTCCTTCTGAATTGAGCTTCTTCTGGTCCTTGTCGATCGAGCTCCTTCTGGTCCTTGTCGGTCAAGGCTTGTTGTCCTTGATCCTGATCGCCAGTTGTAGTAGAACGCTTTGAGTCGTTGACCATTTATTTCAAAAACACAAGAGTTCCCCCTCTGCCTATCGGCGTACATGCCGAGGGTTCACTAGGAATAACTAGAGAACAACACACACAAATATATCAAAGTGCGGCCGTTACGCCGCAACCACAGAGACCATATCGACTTAGCCTATAGTGAGTGAGCAAGTTCCAATATAAAGGACGGCTCTACAACAGTAGCTAAGTAAACTTTCAATGAGCTTTAAAGTTGCATGTCGAAACGAAATCATTTACTAGTCAACCTAAAACCTTCTATAAGTGAGAAGAGCGGTATGGCCGGAGAGGCGATTTTATAACGGGACATTCTCACCTTTTCTCACTTATATCACACCCAGTCCACCACCTGCACTTCTCTAGACAAAGTTTTCGCTGAGGCAAAGGCTTGATAATCCTTTTATATTAGGTTGAAAAAAAAATGTCGCTTTGCTCTCATGGCATCACAACAAGTAAAACCCAATGACATGTGTGGGACACCGTTCGGTAGAGCAAAGCAAACTCCACAAGATTTTTTTCTACTTTTGCAGCAAGCTTGAACCATGTGAAGTTCGAAGACGGAATCTAAAAGGTTTCAATTGACCGAAAAGTCGAAAAATTGCTATCTTTATCCGAAAAATTTCTACGGACCCCCAACTTGCTCATGGATATACAATTCAAAAAAAATTATAGCTTGGGAAGTACAAACGTAGATTTTCAGCTTCTACAAGAGTTAGTTCTAAAGATATATCGAATTTAAATCAAAGAACACAAGAAAAAAGCTAAACTTGATATTTTCGAGAATTAACCCTTTAAGAAGGCTGAAAATCTATGGCTGTACTTCCCAGGCTAATTAACATAGAATTTACACGGGAATAACCCGGCATCACTTTGGCAAAAGCATAAGAATTTGAATTTTTGGGTGTCTAGAAATGAAAAAATTACTGTAAACTATGCGTATGAATGTTTGATGGCAGATCTTGTCTGTGAGCTACTTTGAGGGTCCGTAGAAATTTCTTGGAGGGAGATACGAATTTTTTTGATTCTTCACTCGGAACTTTTTAGTTCCGTCTTCGAAGTTCGCGTAGATATAACTTGGTGCAAGGTAATGCCGTTTCGAAGAGCTTGGTTTGCTTTATCGAATGGTATCCCATACATCTCTCTGGGGTTCGCCTTGTTGCCATGACGAGTAAATAAAAAACGACAATTTTTTCTTTTCAATCTAACACAAAGATAACTTGCAAGCACAAAAAGCGCTTTTCAGCAAGATGACCTCATATTCTGGATTGGTGCCTTGGTCCTGCTTGTAAAATTATGAAGCACTTTATGTGACTCTTTTAAATAGGTTTTTGTTGAATAATGAATATCGATGGGCCATGGGATGTTCAAAAGTACAGATAATTGGCGAGGAATCATGGGACTATATTGGCTATCCAAATAACCTCGTTTCTTAAAAGGAATGAAGGGTGAAATGCCCCCCAAAATGAAAAGTCAAGAGATGAATTCCCGTTATATTTGGGAGGGGACGGAGCATGTGTCTTTTCGAGCGCTATTTTAGATAACAATCCATTGTCTTTTTTGATAACGACATTTCGAAACGACTAGCTTTAGAAGGCGGTTTCGCACCACTTGTCTCAACTACGATTGGAGGGGATTCGCTTTGGATTTCAACACAACAAATAAACTAAGAATGAATATAGCGGGAATTTTGAATCTTTCCGTCAAAGCATTCAATTGGCATGTGGCATGCGGAACGCTGGCTGATGAAACACTCTGTGGGGCCAAAAAATACCAACTCTGACAGGAAACCGAAGGTTTCCTCACGTATTTCGATATGAATGGGAAAGATATCAGTACATATGTTTACATTTTGTAAATCATAAGATTATTGAGTTTGCAAACCCTTTAACGCCTTCTCTATCTTATACAGTGATTCAGTTCTGTGACTCGCACTAGAGAATGGGCATGGGCATATGTCACTTGTAGATTACTAGCTGTGACAGCAGGTAGAATAGCACAATGTCACTGTCTCGGCCTTATCATATTATCGCAATCAGGATTCTCACTTACCTTATCATACCCTAGCGCCTCAGTTCAACGCGCGCAAATAGACAATAAAATCCAAAGACCGATTCTGACGATACCACTGATTTGAAACGAGCATGCTCTCTCTTCTCCTTGTGCCAACTCCCACCTAAGTAGCTTGAATTCTGCTGAAAAATTGATGAATCGATATCGATCGATAACCAGAGGTAGCCAAAGATACCTGCACCACACCGTAGTGGAGTATGCTTAGAGCAGATCATTCTAGAAACGGGTTTTTTTACTGGAACATGCGTACGAACACTTTAGCTGCAAAATCATCTTTTTATTGTGCACATATATACAGGCAGAATAAATCAACTTGTATGCTTTTCGCTTATTAGGAAAAGCTTGAAACATGGCTTAAAGTTCGGCTAATTTTCAACTTCATTCTAGACTTTCGGAGAAGAGTAGGCATAACACAAGTAGAGCAAACCTTGCACTATTGATCACTAGCTGGCTTACCCGGCTCCGCCGTATGCTCCGAATAGAAAATTCCATTTCTTAACCGATCCGGACCAAACTTGGCACACTTACACTTCGGGCCCCGGTAGGTGTCACAGTCCACTTTTCGTTATCGATCGATGTCGACTTTATCGATTTTTTGCAAAGTTTGAGCTACGGGGCTGGAATTTGGCAGAGGGGTGTAATCGAGCATGCTGATCAGCCCCGTGGGGGTGATCAGCATCCCGTGGGGGTGATCAGCCCCCGTGGGGGTGATCAGCATGCTCGATTACACCCCTCTGCCAACTCCCAGCCCCGTAGCTTAAATTTTGCAAAAAATCGATAAAATCGATATCGATCGATGACGAAAAGTAGCCTATGACACCCGCCGGGGCCCGAAGTGTATGTGTGCCAAGTTTGGTGGGGATCGGTTCAAAAATGGAATTTTCTATTCGGAACATACGTACACACAGACAGACATACAGACAGACAGACAGACATACAGACAGACAAACAGACATTCAGCTTTATATATAAGATGCCACTAAATGCTTCCAGTCTGTTTGGAGCTTCAAATAATCACCTCTTTGGTTTCGGTTTTTGATAAAGTCATAAAAGAACAGATTACAGTAAAAACATAAGAGCTTTTGAGTTTTCTGCGAACTCAAGCCTGGTTGTAAACATCATTTGCAAAAAATTCAGTATCGATTTGCGTCGAAGAAACAACTTTCTAGTTTCGACGCCTGCGCGCTATCTGTGCTCAAAAAGAGTGGACAGGAGTTCCCAAAAACAGTTATTATAGACTCTAGCCTAATCTGGGTAATATAAAATGAGCGAAATGTAGACAAAGGTTCACTCTACATACATAATACGAGCGCTTTTTCTCAATGATAGTATAAAATCCTTCAAATTTAAGGAAAGTTTGGCGTCACTTTTAGACTGCTCAAAGATCCACAATAGCAAAGATTTCGTCGATTAGTGAGAAAATTTGGATATCAGAAAGAGGAGAGGACCCTAAATCGAACGATACCTAAGTCGTTCGTTGGTCAATGTCCAAGCGTTTTGGTGATCGATCAAAAAAAAAACGGTCAAAATTCTCGAGACAACCTGATGTTTATATGTTTACTAACTGTTAGACGAGTCTAGAAGTTCTGAACGTTAGAAATCGTGGGTTTCTCAAGTATTTCTATGAAAAACGTTTGAAAAACACTTACCTAGGTTTGCAATGGGTGTGCTCCTTCCCTGTACTTAGAAAACTTAATAGCTCTGTATACTCGCTCAGGCTGCTTTTTATCAAACTTTAATCATTGAGAAAGGTCTCATATATTTGAACGCGCATAACTACTTCCAGATAGTCGTTCAGCAGATAATAATTTCAAATTCGAGATCGTGTTCCAAGGAGAGTGGAATGATGTAAAGCTTGTTTGGATTGGCAGGACCAAGTTCTAACCAATCCTTTGTTAGCAGGCCCGGTCATCAAGATAGCCACTCTTCCCTTCACCTACAACGCCACCAGGATAGCCTATATCGCAAACCATCGCAGTCCTTCAGTGGGTGTTGAAGACACTCTGCACTCTAAGTTGAGGGTCTTGAGCTCTTGGCAGCTTAAGATAGCTTGATAGGCCCCCCTATCAAGCCACACGCGCGGCGCAAATTGTCGCTTGGAAGCGAGAAAATCGCTCCGGAACAACGAATATGCACAAGGACCTCCAGACGGCGCCGCCCTCCACATCCATGCCCGCCCATTTTTGCGCGCCCATCCAATCCGTGTTCCGGAAAGCCGACCTATGGGTTTTCCAGAACGGGGATTGTCGTGGTTTTCGCGGATTCTCGACTTCATATTCGGAATTAGGGACATGAGAATGCCCTGAAACGACAAAAACCTGGAAGTCGAGAATCTGGGTGGACGGTGCCTTCAAAGCAATTGGATTCGGATGAGAGGTGTAAATGTCGACGAATTGATTTCTCAAACTCTGTCTGTGTCTATACGTACTGCTTAGAAAACTACGGTTTTCCGTAATGCCGCAGAGAAACATTCAATCGTGATAAGGTTTACGACACACAAGGCAGTTGCATCAAAAACGGGGCTTCTATTCCAGACAAGTTGAGAAAATACAAGAAAGCCCTGCGTGGAAGACTTTCTCTGTCCTGATTTTAGCAAGCCTCCTTCGGTACCCTCAAAAAGAGATCAGATGAGGAATAGCTGAAATTAGACAATGTAAAAGTGATGGGTTGAGGCCTACTATTAGGCAGTTGTCTGAGCCATCACCAGAAGAATCATTTCAGAGAAAAGGTTTTAAAAATGGATCTGAAACACTGCGTCGAACACCCATCGAAATAGTTGTCCATCGTTGTCCTATGCATTCGCTGATAGGTTTAGTTAGCGGATGAAAAGTTGTCATCGCTCGTATCTCACCTAGCACATTCTGCCACTGAGTGCAGTCGCGCTGACAATGTGGGGAGCTCAAGAAGTTCTCTGCAAGGATGTAAATCTCAATATCATCTTGGTATTTCAATACACTTAACTGATTTTCATGGATTTTCCTCTTACCGATATAGGTGCTACTTAGCGATGAACTTTATTGGGTACTTTTCCGCTAGCTGGACCCATTTTTCCAAAGAAGGATATTGGTCCTTCTCTTGTACCACATCTGGGTCCCATCCCAGGAAGGATTGTCAACTTCCCATCGCATGCGAAACAAATATTGACATGTTTTCTACAAGTTTAACAGGAGTCCGATTTGTTTTCAGTAATGACCCTTTTTTCATTCAACACTTCCAAATATTAGAACCATTGTAAGAATGTCGTTCTGTTTTCAATGAGCCACTAGGTTCGCCTAGAATAGAAATATCTATAGAATTCCATCATCCAAACGGCAAACAAGCTTCTGCGACATACTTCATGCCATGTCTAGTATATTCTTTCCTGGTGAATTACCATGGTGGAGACACTGAAAAGGAAGATATTTCAATATCATTAATGAAAGCGACAAGGTGTCCTGGTAAATGTTTGGATTGTTCGTTTTATTACAGGTTAGCAGTTCGTAAGTCATCCCAAATGGTCTTGTAACTCCGAAATGATTTTGAAAAAAAAAGCCAAACTGACGTGGCAGAGAGACAGTCCTTATACAATCTATGAAAATTGATTTTTAGGCTACAGCGCATATCCCACGAGAATTTTTTGCGGAAAGGGGTTCAAAGAGAAATACCCTTTATGCTTGCTTCGAGAATAACGAATTAAAAACCCTAACTTCAACAAAGTACATCCCAGGATACGCAACTTAATGCTTCATTAGGAAAGTACACTACTGACTTTCTATATGCTTTATTTCCCTCAATCATATTTAACTGAGATGCTTAGGAGCCCAAAGTTTGATGACAACACTTCGACCGGAAAAATCCGTTTCTTTTTTGATGCTTCTGTTCTCGGCTCTCTGAGGGTTCTTAAAAAAGCGCTGAGCGCAGAGATCAATATTCGGACTGTCTTTTTGATCTCAATAAAAGATCTCCGAACATTCTGGTCTCACTCGCTATTTATTCGCCATAATGGCCGTGCTACCCTAGTCAAATCTTCACAGTCCTGCTGCCCAAAAATTTTTTTTCCAAGTAAACATGCCAGTAGATGCTCACCTGCTCTCTACAGCCCTCCCTCCCATAGTGTCCCTCACCCCTCTATTCTCCACAGGTATCATGCAATTTATATGTTCACGTGTGCCGTTTTACCGCCATCCATAGAGTTCTAATTTGCTTAGAACTCTATGATGGCGGTAAAACGGCACACGTGCTCTACCATCTTCTTTTTCCCTCCCTCCCCACCTCCGTTGATTTCTTACTTTTGCCGAAGAATGTAGGAGTAGAAGAGATGGTATTAGAATGATTGAAAAGCTTCTATTAGAACTTTTTGTCAAAGCTTTTTCACTCTGTTCTCTTAAGCAGAATTCTTCAAATACTTCTCTACATTTTTCGGTCCTCGTGTTCTCGAGTTTCCCCCACCAAGATGCCTTTAACGCAAACAAAATTTTTTCAGCGCTCTCCCGAGTTCCTCCAGAACCCTCTCTTTCGCTCCTAAAGTTCCTCTTCGAGAATGTGCATTGTCATTCAAAAATTTTGCCGAAAATCTCCGACCGGTTTTTCTTTTCTGTGGACCTTCGTTTGACCCGCTCTCTTTAGTTTACCCGAAGTGGCCCGAAACCCATTACGCTACCTAAAACGGTCAATTTCTTTAGTATCAAAACCTAAAACTTTGATGGGACAGATCACATCTCTTGCTATAACTTCGGGTTGAAATCGATACATTTTCATAATGTTAAATTGCAGCGAACTGTGAACATTTAAGCTCTCTAAAGAATGAAAATGATCCTAATGTATGTAACAAAACGTCTCGGAGGGATGCTTTTCACAAATTTTGGTCGTGGTAAGACCAACATGGCAACCACACTTGCATGGGCCTACCTGTTTGCTGACATCGAAATCTGTGAGTGTAGTCTTTGAAGTAGTATAGCTCTGACATTCGGTCCGTGCGGCACGCGTGCTCCCCGTGCGGCGCCTTGTAGTGCGAGGGGGCCGAACGCTCCGTGCGCGCGGACCGAACGGTGAATGCGCGAAGGCCGAACGGTGAATGCACGCGGGCCGCACGGTATCGAAAGCGCTCCGTCCGCAAGCTACCAGAAAATAAATCTCTTTCATAGATCTTCTTTTTCTTCTTCCGTCGTGCCTTGAGCATTCTCAACTTCACAGTCCAAAAAAATTCCGAATTCAAAAAATTCGAAAATTTGAATTTGAGTTCACAGAATTCAAAATTCAAATTCGGCATCCATTCGGGACGCTGTCGAGGAATAACCTCCGTAGAAGTAAAAAAAAACTACCCTATTTTCAGGTGTATAAGCCGCACCCTTTTTGCTCTAAACGCGAGCAGACCCAGGCGTGCCGCCACGCCTAGGTCTCGCGAAGCGGTCGCCTTATCGCATACTGCTCTCACTTAACGCGCTCCATGATGACAGTCAGTCTTTTGGCGTGTTCGCCTTTAGAGCGAAAAGGGTGCGGCTTATACACCTGAAAATAGGGTATGTTTCTGCGATTACTCAAATGCCAAGAAATGATAGCTAAGTCAGCTCCACAAGTGATGGAGCAGCCTAATCATAGCGTCGTACCTCACGCGGGTACCTATTACGCTTATAGCGTGTGAGAATTGGAGGCGCGGGGCAGCACGGGGAGAATATATTGCGCGCGGGCCGTACGCTAAGGATACAAGGCGCGCGGGCCGCACGGTACATGACCCCGCCCGTAAATCTAGGCGCGCGGGCCGCACTGCTGGCCATTAACAAGCGCGCGCCGCACGCACCGAATGTCAGAGAGTGACGATTGACGAAACTGACTGGTCAGTCTTACCGCCGACTGCGTTGCCAGTATTTCACAGACTGTACTTAATGAAACCGTAAACATCTCGGAAGCATGATTTTCGTATATGGTCGCAATGGCACTCGTACAGTTGTGATGCGAAAGGGCATCTGTACTTATAAACGGTGCGCAGCTCATTCATTTACGAAAACACGACTGCGGTGGCAAGGTATCAAAGATCACTGCTGGTTACAAACATCCACGATGAGTCACATGGGGGTGCTTGCGCTTTATAGAGAGTACCAGTTCAAAGCGCCGCTTCGCGGCGCTTTGACTGGCTGTGTGTGTGAAGTAAGAAGTGATCAAAAGTTAGAACCTTTAGAGCATTGTCTTCATATCTTTTCGTAACCGAATGTGTAGCATGGAGCCTTCCAGGCAGCATAGTTCATGTGAAAAACACCGAACAGTAGTATTTACTTCCTTGCTCTTTATCACCTCAGCAAACTTGTATCCTCGATTCGTTGACCGTACGGACTGGACATGACTGCCGAGCATGCACCGCGCGGTAAAACGCTTGCCCCACTACAAATTCGCCATGACACAAATCGTGCTCTCGCAAAATTTCAGCCGCGCCGCGCGCGATCCGTAGCGTTTGAGCAGCCCATGCGGTCTTCGAATCGAAGACACTTTCCTTAGCTGAATTGGGCTTAAATAGCTCTACGCCACATGCTACCTTACCTCCACAGAAATTTTTAATGCTCGGATTTTCTTTGGGAAATGTGCCGCCACTTGTTCGTGCGATCCACAGGCTTCGTCTAATCGTGCCATAGCACCCCTTGTGCTCTCCCTTTTCGGGTTTTGCTAAAACTGCTTACCTCAAAGTTTCGCATGAGATATCTTTACCCTTTGCCAGGTAGACAGAATTTGCTGGCCAAGGTGCCGGTCCCGCGATTTCACCTGTTGGATCCCACACTGAATACTACATGGGAAGTCCCTCTAATCTCCGCTCTCAATGGGCCAACTGCTCATGACATTTTCTATCAATTTTTCGAAGAAAATGGACTTTCCAGTGTTCAGATTCTAACCATCTTTGATTCGAAATTCAGAAACTTCAAATCAGATACCATATTACCTTCTACCAATTTTGCGAAGAAAATTCGAACTTTTCCTGTTGTGATTCTAGCCACCGTTTAATTCACAAAAATCAAATTTTTTTTCTTTTGATGCTTACGATCCGATTCCCGCTAAGAAATTCTCATGCCAAAATACTGTACTTTCCCGTTTTCCTTCCGGGCCTATCTAGCTTGTCCCACTCGCTTTAGTTTCAATCAAAGCGGTTCGAAATCCCCAAAAGTATAGCGTAATGCCTTTCAAGCATGCACAATTTCATGCAGAAAGCACTGAAGAGTAGTAACTTAGTTCCCAGCTCTTTAGCTCGCAGGAAAACTCTAGAAATCCTTAGCTCGGGCTCAAATAGCTGCACGCCCCATGCTGCGTTAGCTTTGAAATCCTCTCAATGCTAGAAATTTTCTCTGGGAAGTGTACCACTAACTTCGACTGCATATCAGGTTTCTTCTATTCGTGCCACACCTTCCTCTCTCGCTCCCTTCCCACTACATCCACCCCAACCCCCTCTCAACTCCCCCGCACCCTCCTTTGTACGAAACACCGTTTATCCTGCGTCTATATGTAGTTTTGAGCGAATCTTGCTTATACTTTTCGCTGCCCCCAACCCTCATTCCCCATTAGTTTCCTACTTCTACGAATAATGGACGAATGGATCACGAATGAAATAATCAAACAGCTTCCAAAGTCTTTTTGTAAAAAAAATTCTTCTATTCTAAAGCTTCTTCAAAATAAAAATTCTTCAAATATCTCCACTTTTTCTTTTCTGTCTTATCTATCGGGTTTTCCTTTTACTGACGCTGCCTTAGTCGCAATGCGTTACTTCAATTTGCTTATCGCAATCCCTACAGCTCTTTACAGAGTACCGCACAGAACGGCTAGAAAGCTCCAATACCGAAGGCAGACAGCCTGATGGCAAAGATCAATGAAAAAAGGGCAGTTTTAAAGTGCAGGTTCATGGAGCATAGTGGTAAACAACCAAACGTGGCACGAACAGACCGACACTGACGTCAGATGGGGGTGCCTGCGCTTTATTAAAGAGTATGATGATAGTCAAGAAAGAAGCCTCGTTTAGTGAAGCTCATTTTCGGAAATAGAAATGTACACCTTACACCTCGTGCTTTTTCTCTGGACTCGCCCTGCGCATTAGATAACCGAGTAATGTTTCTTGTTCTCGTAAAGCATCCTACGAATGGATGGTAGGAGACGGAGGACGCGCTCGTCCAGAGCTGGAATCCTGTTCCCCGTGTCCCGCATTCATTGCAAACTCCGCAAGGGAAACTACGCCAGGAGGATTGGAGAAGCTGCTCCCGTCTACTTAGCCGCAGTACTGGAGTACATGGTGGCAGAGGTCCTCGAACTGGCCGGAAATGTCGCACGAGACTTCAGGAGAGCAAGGATCAACCCGCGTCACTTACTACTTGCGATCCGGGCGGACGAAGAATTAAATGAGCTTCTATCTAATGTCACAATCCCGGAAGGAGGGGTTCTCCCCAGCAGGGAACTTGAGCCCAAACCTGCGGCTTCGCGAAAATGTGAGTCTCAAGATTTGATATGGTATTTCGTACTATTATTATTTCGCATTTTTTGGGGGACATGGAGCGGATGCATTCATGATTGCTTCTCATATTGTTTTTTTTTCAGAGCCAAATAGGCCAGATCTGTATTTATTGTTTTAACTAACAATGCTAACTCGCTTGAACTTCTAAATATAGTGCCAAAGTGAGTCAGTTTAATTTATTCTGAAGAAGAATGATTGGGCCCCATATTAATCTACAGAGTCGGCGGATTGCCCCGATGTCGGCGGCGGGAAAAGACTCTTTCGCAACAGACACCCGATCAAATCCACAAAACCACGAGGGTATGTGCGAAAAGACCTTTGAAAGAATCCTCCAAGGAAAGACTTTTATTAAATACAAGTCTTCTCTGAATACATACCTTTTCATTCGGGTCAAATCGTTTGCTTTTTTTGAAGGCGAACGAGTGGGCATTTAAAGAAAATTTGCCATGTTTCGACAATGTTTAGAGCTGTGCTGTGCCGCCCGGGGAACGCCGGGATAATGTTGTGAAAGGTGCGCGGGCTCTGAAGCTCTTTTAATCTGATGAGAACTCTTATGTTCAAAATGCTGGACTTTACACTTATAGCGAGCCTGTCAAGGTAAACATTTGCACTTGTAAGTATATACGGATCAGTCGCTAATTGTAGGTCCACGGAAGACTGCTCCCTCCACCAAAAATCAAATATCAGAATGAAACGGCTTTTGTCAGGTATGAGAAGTGGAGGTAATGACCAGTCCATTGGTGTAGGATTCATCCACACAAACTCGTAACAGGACTCCTCGTAGACCACTGCTTGTACCAGCCGAGTGCGATGTATGGGCTGTGTATGCTCTTGTACCCACTTACGAGGCGGGCAGATTCGATGAAGAGTGCTGCGGTAATTTTTTATTTTAATGTCTTTTCTTTTTGATTTTTGCGAGACTTTTCAGCAACTTTGCTGAGAATTACTACCGGAAGCCAATTCGCGCGGCATTAAGATCGCTGCTCCGGCAGAGATCAAGGTATCTCCGATGCAACGAATCAAAGTAGGACTGTCGCAATTTAACCTCACGTTTAGTTGCTTACATCAAAAAAGGATCTTGAGGAGAGAATGAAAACCGCTGCGAATTGTAATTGCAAGTTCTGTCTCATTGTTACTGCTGACTATAAGTACCGCTCACAGTAGGTGTGTTGTGTTTTTTGAATGCTCATGGACTGCCTTTGAAAGAGCTTCGCTATTATATAGCACTTTCAACTGGTGACCATCAGGAAACACCCTCATCATCTTTTTACCACAGACCATTGTTTGTTCTGTTATCTTATCTCTTCTTTTTTTGTGATCTCGGCTAATTTTTTGATGCTGTGTTCGATCTGATTTTGTTCAGTGTATGGGATGTACTTCTGCATGTTTATGACTATTTTTTCAGAGCAGATTAAGCTTTGGGAAAGGGAACTGGAAATGGTGACACAGAACGTAAAGTTATCGAATGCACTCAAGGTTTCAGTGGTACTTCGTTTACAGAAAACTCACACAATTCTTTTGAAGGTTGGCGAAAGACGGGTTGTTACTCTAGAAGATATAATTCTCAATCGAACCTGAAGTTAGGTGGACTGAACTACGAGATGGACTTGGAGGGAATCTTGCCGCAAGAAGGGGGAAAGTGGGTTTTGTTTTTACCTATAGCTCGAACGATATCTGGACTAGTAAAGAGTCCGGCGTAGAGTTGAATATTCAGAGACTGGATCCGTCCTGGTCGTCTTTTCCTAGGAAGTGGAATCAGCCATCCTCCTCCGTCAGCCACCTATGATCCTGAAAAAGGTGCCCCTTCTGTTATTGGAGTGAGTGCTGATCAAAGTCGCCGGGTTCAGCCAGTTGTTGTTCATTCTGTTATAGTACGCTGCAAACTTCAATGCCAATCGCTTCGACATAGTCGGAGATTATCTTTTCCAAAGCTCGAGGAGAGAAGAGGTTAGCTGTCATTCTGTTCTGTCTCATCTACTAGTTCTCGTTACAGACAATCTTTACGATGTCTGAATTAGTCAACAATGTGTTGCCAAAATCTGCCGAAAATCAGTGGCCCTGAGATCTCATAATCTACAGAAGCGGTCGTCAGAGGGCTCCTTCAGCACTGTTAGTCTTGACGATGTGTGAAATAGTCCACTGGCTTTTCTTGCTTAGGTACTCACTCACGAGATACCCCTTCTTCTGCAACTCTTTCTGCTTTGGGTGCTAAGAACATCAAAACTGTCTTTATTGTTGCACAAAAAGAACACAATGTCCGCCTTGTGCTAGATCGTGTAAGTTCCCGTTGAATGGTCTTAATGAATGTGGTGCCTGATCGATGTGTGGTTTACAGATTGAACGCTCTCGCAAGCCAACCGATCAGATTATCACACTGGAATTGTAGTGGATACCGAACTCACCCATCCTTCTTTTAAAATGTTCTTCCTCAATTCTCATATCACTTTACAGGTGAGACATGTTTTACCATGATGAATTTTTGCTACGATTGCACCAATCCGGGGTCTTCTCGCCACTCCAAGATATATTGTCTTGGTTGACGACCTCAATCTATCTATTTACGAACTAGAAGGGGTGACCTATGTGTTGACATATGGACATCAAACTGTGAATCTCCCTACTTCACTGCCCACCTCGCTTTACGATGCTAATCGATATGCTGAACAGGGCAGGAATACCTATACCGCTCATGCGCTTTTATGTACTGCTACCGATCTTGATCTTTGTTGTGGATGTATGTATATACCAGTAAATATCTCTTGACATTCAAGACAATCTTCGGAATCTAGCTCATCTTATTGAGCTTCGACAGAGTCTATGTCTATGTCTATGGGTGTCTTGCGCACCGCTTCCTACACTCGCACGAAGTTGGCGAATGTTCGTGTCAATGCTTAAGTGATCTACACGTACAGGGCCTTACAACCTGAGTGTCCCACCCGCCCCGCTAGGACGCCACGCTTAGGTCCGCGCAGCGTTCGTGGCGGTGGCTGCGCGTCGACTGAAGCTTGGCGAAATCCGGGCGATACGCAGCAAACGCCACGCGCGGCCTGAGCGAGGCGGCCGCGTTGGAGGAGCCGCGCAAGCGAAACTTGCGACTCTCAGGTTGAAAAGCCCTGTACATGTTCTCCCCATTACATGAGTGCTGCGACATCGCCACCTACGCCATGTCCGTCAAGTTCTTAAACCGTCGTCTATAGCAATACTGTTAATAGTGTTCGTTCTGTTTTTTGTTGAAAATTGTTCAATTTATATATCCTTTATGCACAAATAATCAAGCATTCTTGCTATCGAATAATCAAGCATTTTTGCTACCCTGTCATTATCTCAGTTTTGGCGTTATATAGGTATTCGGGTATGCTGCAAGTGCTATATTTACAACTTAGAGTATTTTGACTTCCATTTTTCTTAACGCATTTTTGGTTTTGCAAATGAAGATTGGTTGCTAATTTTGCAGTTTTCCACCTCATCGTTTATAAGATATACACAAGGGATAGGAGAAACACATATAGGTGATGGTGAGATGAACATTTTCTATGCGCGACTAGGGACAGATCTCAATCAAGTTTTGCCGTACTGATGGTAAAGCATCTTGGGAGCAAAGTATAACTGAATTGCGCAATTAGTAAGAATACCAGGGTAGTTGTGGTGAGGTGGATGTATATATTATCTCATGTGTGGCACTGAATTCCATTGAATAAGAAAACTGACTAGCTCCTGCCTGAATGGGTTTTTTTTAAGCGGGTGAGAGAATAAACACTGTCGGCGCAAACGCAGGGATGGGCAAGGGGCACTCGGAAGTGACAATACTCGCAAAGGGCAAGCAATGCAAAACTTTTCGCTAGTTTCTTATTGTCAGAAATTTTTATGGTGTCGAGCCATGTACGCGCGCTCTCCCTTCTCCCCCCCCCCCCCTAATTAGCCGCCGCTTCAACTCTTCTCTGCAAAAAATTGCTACTTTACCTTTCGATTCCTTTATATGAAACGATATGTGGAGAAAGAATCAGCTGATTTTTGAGACCTAACGTTAACGGCAAAAAACAGCCCTCGAACGCGGGATTGGGCCTTCCAGCTGAGAGCCGCGCCCATTAGCCACTAGAACATGGACGCTGCATTGTACCCTTGCAGTTCAATGTGTTCTAGCTGCCTTTCTTTATCAGATCGTAAATCAAGGATTGATGTGGGGGGCGGGGGCTGCACGAGCTCGCTTTGAATAAGGCGTAGGACAAAAAACATTGGGTGGAGGTTTTGCGTCTCAGTGTTTTTCTCAAATCAAAGGACGGGTGGATGCTCAAATGTCCTTCTCTGCAAAAAATTCATATTGTACCTTACGGTTCTTTTATATGAAATGATTAGAGGATCTGTGGAGAAATCAGCTGTTTTTTGGAGCCAACGTTGGTGGCAAGAAGGAATTCCTGAGTGGGGAATCGAACCCAGGTCTGGCAGCTGAGAGCCTCACCCCTTAGCCACTAGACTTTGGAGACTGCATTGTGACATTGTGATTGTGCGGGTCAATTGCTTTTTTTATCAACTTCAAAGAGGGAACGGGGGGGGGGGTAGGCGGTACGGTAGTCAGGCTGCAACGATTTCCCGGAAAATGGGGGGCATTGGTTTCGATTCTTTGTATATTAGAGGAATCTGTGGAGAAATCAGCTGTTTTTTGGAGCCAACTAGTGGCCAAACCATCGCAGTCCTTCATTGGGTGTTGAAGGCCTTCTCCACCCTAAGTTGAGGGTCTTGAGCTTTTGGCAGCTTATGATAGTAGGGCCCCCTATCAAGCCACAAGCGCGGCGCAAAATGTCGCTTCAGAAGCGAGAAAACTCCGGAATAACAAATATGCACAAGGACAAGACGGCGCCGCCCTCCACATCCACGCCCGCCCATTTTTGCGCGCCCTTCCAATCCGTGTTCCGGAAAGCCGACCTATGCGTTTTTCAGAACGGGGATTGTCGGGGTTTTCGCGGATTCTCGACTTCATATTCGGAATTAGGGACATGAGAATGCCCTGAAACGACAAAAACCTGGAAGTCGAGAATCTGGGTGGACGGTGCCTTCAAAGCAATTGGATTCGGATGAGAGGTGTAAATGTCGACGAATTGATTTCTCAAACTCTGTCTGTGTCTATACGTACTGCTTAGAAAACTACGGTTTTCCGTAATGCCGCAGAGAAACATTCAATCGTGATAAGGTTTACGACACACAAGGCAGTTGCATCAAAAACGGGGCTTCTATTCCAGACAAGTTGAGAAAATACAAGAAAGCCCTGCGTGGAAGACTTTCTCTGTCCTGATTTTAGCAAGCCTCCTTCGGTACCCTCAAAAAGAGATCAGATGAGGAATAGCTGAAATTAGACAATGTAAAAGTGATGGGTTGAGGCCTACTATTAGGCAGTTGTCTGAGCCATCATCAGAAGAATCATTTCAGAGAAAAGGTTTTAAAAATGGATCTGAAACACTGCGTCGAACACCCATCGAAATAGTTGTCCATCGTTGTCCTATGCATTCGCTGATAGGTTTAGTTAGCGGATGAAAAGTTGTCATCGCTCGTATCTCACCTAGCACATTCTGCCACTGAGTGCAGTCGCGCTGACAATGTGGGGAGCTCAAGAAGTTCTCTGCAAGGATGTAAATCTCAATATCATCTTGGTATTTCAATACACTTAACTGATTTTCATGGATTTTCCTCTTACCGATATAGGTGCTACTTAGCGATGAACTTTATTGGGTACTTTTCCGCTAGCTGGACCCATTTTTCCAAAGAAGGATATTGGTCCTTTTCTTGTACCACATCTGGGTCCCATCCCAGGAAGGATTGTCAACTTCCCATCGCATGCGAAACAAATATTGACATGTTTTCTACAAGTTTAACAGGAGTCCGATTTGTTTTCAGTAATGACCCTTTTTTCATTCAACACTTCCAAATATTAGAACCATTGTAAGAATGTCGTTCTGTTTTCAATGAGCCACTAGGTTCGCCTAGAATAGAAATATCTATAGAATTCCATCATCCAAACGGCAAACAAGCTTCTGCGACATACTTCATGCCATGTCTAGTATATTCTTTCCTGGTGAATTACCATGGTGGAGACACTGAAAGGAAGATATTTTGATATCATTGATGAAAGCGACAAGTTGTCCTGGTAAATGTTTGGATTGTTCTGTTCCTTGTTACAGGTTAGCAGCTCGTAAGTCATCCCAAACGGTCTTGTAACTCCGAAATGATTTTGAAAAAAAAAAGCCAAACTGACGTGGCAGAGAGACAGTCCTTATACAATCTATGAAAATTGATTTTTAGGCTACAGCGCATATCCCATGAGAATTTTTTGAGAAAAGGGGTTCAAAGAAAAATACCCTTTATGCTTGCTTCGAAAATAACACATCCCAGGATACGCAACTTAATGCTTCATTAGGAAAGTACACTACTGACTTTCTAAATGCTTTATTTCCCTCAATCATATTTAACTGAGATGCTTAGGAGCCCAAAGTTTGATGACAACACTTCGACCGGAAAAATCCGTTTCTTTTTTGGTGCTTCTGTTCTCGGCTCTCTGAGGGTTCTTAAAAAAAGCGCTGAGCGCAGAGATCAATATTCGGACTGTCTTTTTGATCTCAATAAAAGATCTTCTCCGAACATTCTGGTCTCACTCGCTATTTATTCGCCATAATGGCCGTGCTACCCTGGTCAAATCTTCACAGTCCTGCTGCCCAAAAATTTTTTTCCAAGTAAACGTGCCAAAAGATGCTCACCTGCTCTCTACAGCCCTCCCTCCCATAGTGTCCCTCACCCCTCTATTCTCCACAGGTACCATGCAATTTATATGTTCACGTGTGCCGTTTTACCGCCATCCATAGAGTTCTAAGCCAATCTTCTTTTTCCCTCCCTCCCCACCTCCGTTGATTTCTTACTTTTGCCGAAGAATGTAGGAGTAGAAGAGATGATATTAGGATGATTGAAAAGTTTCTATTAGAACTTTTTGTCAAAGCTTTTTCACTCTGTTCTCTTGAGCAGAATTCTTCAAATACTTCTCTACATTTTTCGGTCCTCGTGTTCTCGAGTTTCCCCCACCAAGATGCCTTTAACGCAAACAAAATTCTTTCAGCGCTCTCCCGAGTTCCTCCAGAACCCTCTCTTTCGCTCCTAAAGTTCCTCTTCGAGAATGTGCATTGTCATTCAAAATTTTTGCCGAAAATCTCCGACCGGTTTTTCTTTTCTGTGGACCTTCGTTTGACCCGCTCTCTTTAGTTTACCCGAAGTGGCCCGAAACCCATTACGCTACCTAAAACGGTCAATTTCTTTAGTATCAAAACCTAAAACTTTGATGGGACAGATCACATCTCTTGCTATAACTTCGGGTTGAAATCGATACATTTTCATAATGTTAAATTGCAGCGAACTGTGAACTTTTAAGCTCTCTAAAGAATGAAAATGATCCTAATGTATGTAACAAAACGTCTCGGAGGGATGGTTTTCACAAATTTTGGTCGTGGTAAGACCAACATGGCAACCACACTTGCATGGGCCTACCTGTTTGCTGACATCGAAATCTGTGAGTGTAGTCTTTGAAGTAGTATAGCTCTGACATTCGGTCCGTGCGGCGCGCGTGCTTCCCGTGCGGCGCCTTGTAGTGCGAGAGGGCCGAACGCTCCGTGCGCGCGGGCCAAACGGTGAATGCGCGAGGGCCGAACGGTGAATGCACGCGGGCCGCACGGTATCGAAAGCGCTCCGTCCGCAAGCTACCAGAGAATAAATCTCTTTCATAGATCTTCTTTTTCTTCTTCCGTCGTGCCTTGAGCATTCTCAACTTCACAGTCCAAAAAAATTCCGAATTCAAAAAATTCGAAAATTTGAATTTGAGTTCACAGAATTCAAAATTCAAATTCGGCATCCATTCGGGACGCTGTCGAGGAATAACCTCCGTAGAAGTAAAAAACTTCTTATGTTCCTGTGATTACTCAAATGCCAAGAAATGGTAGCTAAGTCAGCTCCACAAGTGATGGAGCAGCCTTATCATAGCGTCGTACCTCACGCGGGTACCTATTACGCTTATAGCGTGTGAGAATTGGAGGCGCGGGGCGGCACGGGGAGAATATATTGCGCGCGGGCCGTACGCTAAGGATACAAGGCGCGCGGGCCGCACGGTACATGACCCCGCCCGTAAATCTAGGCGCGCGGGCCGCACTGCTGGCCATTAACAAGCGTGCGCCGCACGCACCGAATGTCAGAGAGTGACGATTGACGAAACTGACTGGTCAGTCTTACCGCCGACTGCGTTGCCAGTATTTCACAGACTGCACTTAATGAAACCGTAAACATCTCGGAAGCATGATTTTCGTATATGGTCGCAATGGCACTCGTACAGTTGTGATGCGAAAGGGCATCTGTACTTATAAACGGTGCGCAGCTCATTTACGAAAACACGACTGCAGTGGCAAGATATCAAAGATCACTGCTGGTTACAAACATCCACGATGAGTCACATGGGCGTGCTTGCGCTTTATAGAGAGTACCAGTTCAAAGCGCCGCTTCGCGGCGCTTTGAACTGGCTGTGTGTGTGAAGTAGGATGTGACTAAAAGTTAAGACTTTTGAATTTTTTAGCAAAAGAGCGAATTTGTACACGTCGAACCCAGAGGCCGTTAAAGACAAATAGTCGCAAATCCTGGTCCTCTGCGGGTTTTTCCAAGCTGCTCTCCTCCTCCCCTCCTCCCCCTCCCCGCCTCCTCATTCTCCTACACAAAAGTTAGTGCATATGAAAGTGCCTGAGCTACTGATCTTTCTCGCATTCCCACTCTCCAGCCCTAAAGCACTGTAATGGAAATGTCAATTTTATGTTTACAGCGGGTCCTCATCTGCAACGCTTTAGTAAGTCACCGCGTTGAGACCTGTGTTCCTTCATTTTCACAATCTCCCGAGCTGCTGTAAGCGCGCAAATGCAGCGACTCTTTGCGTTGGAGCTGATTTCTTTCAACGTTTTGGCTAACGATTGAGATATACTGTAGTCGCCAAAATTTATTTTTCCTACATCTAGCGAGGATCCTCGTATGCTGCAAAACTTTAGACCGAAATGGCCTTCTCGCACTCACAAAAAATTCCTCACAGTAAATGTCCGTCCTAAACTGCGTTAGTATAATACTACCACTTCCTCTGGAATTTCTGCTCCTATTTCTCCGCGAAATTGAATCAGAAAAAATTTGAGTCAATATTTCTTGAAACATCTGGCCAACATTCAACCTTCCAAATTCAAAATTTTACAGCTTAAGTCCTCTTTCTCTTTGCAAAATTCTTTTTTGGAAGCGGCAAAACATCTCACTATTAATATTCTCCTCCGGTTTTACAAACTGCCCAACACCCTTGGAATTTCATCAAAGTTCTTCAAAATCACTTCAAGCTTATCTTAACAGGCTCATGTAAATTCTATAGGGAGACCTATTATCAAAAGGTGTTTATGTTGTCATCTGAAGCAATTTTTCGTTGCTCATACAATTTCAAGATTTCTATATTTTGACAAAACTGCGCTGAAAATTCAAAAACTTCATACTTCTTATACTATAACTTTAGCTGATGGTTGGTGACGCCAACTTGCATTTTATTTTGTAACTTACCCATAGCTGAAAGATTAGCGAATTCAGCATAGAGCTTTCTTGAAAAACTTCGATTACGATCGCAATGACTTTCTTTTACATACTTTCGAACTTCGGTTTTGGTGAATATCCGAAAATTCAGAGGTAAAGTTGTTTTGTTAGTACGTATGCTTCCCTAGCTAGGAGAACTTTTGCGCCCAAGTTTGAAGAAGTTTCAAAGCGATTGGCGTCACACGCTGTTACCTTTTGGAATAATGTTAAAAGTCCCGACAGTTGTGAGATGTCACGAATAGAACCGTGTTCGCGCTTTATTATGGAGTACGATACTGAATTATCCAAAAACGGACAGATTCGTTGTGGTTTCTTCCTAAGAGACACTCAGTTAGCATTTGACATGAAATCTGGGAAACTGCAACTTTCTTGCTGAAATTCTAACAACAGAGATCGTGCTGAAAAGAAAAAAATTAGCGAGAATTTTCCCAAAACAGCTTTAGTGCGGATTGTTCAATTCAGAAAGTATTTACGCATTTGCTAAATGAAGTTTTACGATTTTTTTTAAAAACGGTTTTATCGCAACTTCCAAGCAACTTGATGGAAAACTTGGGGAGACAACAACTTTTTTTCGCCAGAATATCTAGCAGAATTTCTTAGACTTACGGTGCATTTTCAAAGAAGTGCTCCTGAAAAAAATCATGGGTAGAAGTTATGCTCAAGGAGAGGAGTCAAAGTGCGAGAAGCTTGCAGAAAAAAGATTCGACGATATACCACTTACGCAAGAATTTTATGAATGCAGATCAAACTCAAATAGTCAGAGGGACAGACCAAGTTTACCAAGTACAGATATGGTGCAACTTCCTTTATTTTAGAAGAAACACAGTAAGCAGTGTGGAATTGAACAAACAACGGTGCTTCTTTCAACTATCCTGTTATTCGTATAAATTAGGTTTACGACAAAAAAGAAATAATATTTTCCTTTTTTCTTGCATAAAAAGAAAAATATGATAACAACATGGCATTAGATAATGTAATTCACAAACTGAGGATCATTGTGACCTACCTGTTTGCTGTTAATATCAAAATCTGTTGGTGTATTGTATGTGAAGCAGAATTGATGACTGACGAAACTGAACTGACCCGTCTTAGAATCTACAGTGTTGCCAGCATTTCATAGACTGCACTTACTTCAATAAACCGTAAACATATCAAAAACCATGACTTTCGTATATGGTCGCGGTGATAAACCGTAAACATATCAAAAACCAAGACTTTCGTGTATGGTCGCGGTGACACCATTCTTTTCGTATAAGGTCGTGATGCGAAAGGGCAACTGTACTTAGTGCACTGTGTGGTAGCTCATTTACGAAAACACGTCTGCAGTGGCAAGGTACCAAAGATCGCTGGTTGCAAACATCCACGATGAGTCACATGGGGGTGCTTGCGCTTTATAGAAAGTATTTCATAGACTGCACTTACTTCAATAAACCGTAAACATATCAAAAACCATGACTTTCGTATATGGTCGCGGTGATAAACCGTAAACATATCAAAAACCAAGACTTTCGTGTATGGTCGCGGTGACACCATTCTTTTCGTATAAGGTCGTGATGCGAAAGGGCAACTGTACTTAGTGCACTGTGTGGTAGCTCATTTACGAAAACACGTCTGCAGTGGCAAGGTACCAAGGATCGCTGGTTGCAAACATCCACGATGAGTCACATGGGGGTGCTTGCGCTTTATAGAGAGTATGATGATAGTCAAGAAAGAAGCCTCGTTTAGTGAAGCTCATTTTCGGAAATAGAAATGTACACCTTACACCTCTTGCTTTTTCTCTGGACTCGCCCTGCGCATTAGATAACCGAGTAATGTTTCTTGTTCTCGTAAAGCATCCTACGAATGGATGGTAGGAGACGGAGGACGCGCTCGTCCAGAGCTGGAATCCTGTTCCCCGTGTCCCGCATTCATTGCAAACTCCGCAAGGGAAACTACGCCAGGAGGATTGGAGAAGCTGCTCCCGTCTACTTAGCCGCAGTACTGGAGTACATGGTGGCAGAGGTCCTCGAACTGGCCGGAAATGTCGCACGAGACTTCAGGAGAGCAAGGATCAACCCGCGTCACTTACTACTTGCGATCCGGGCGGACGAAGAATTAAATGAGCTTCTATCTAATGTCACAATCCCGGAAGGAGGGGTTCTCCCCAGCAGGGAACTTGAGCCCAAACCTGCGGCTTCGCGAAAATGTGAGTCTCAAGATTTGATATGGTATTTCGTACTATTATTATTTCGCATTTTTTGGGGGACATGGAGCGGATGCATTCATGATTGCTTCTCATATTGTTTTTTTTCAGAGCCAAATAGGCCAGATCTGTATTTATTGTTTTAACTAACAATGCTAACTCGTTTGGACTTCTAAATATAGTGCCAAAGTGAGTCAGTTTAATTTATTCTGAAGAAGAATGATTGGGCCCCATATTAATCTACAGAGTCGGCGGATTGCCCCAATGTCGGCGGCGGGAAAAGACTCTTTCGCAACAGACACCCGATCAAATCCACAAAACCACGAGGGTATGTGCGAAAAGACCTTTGAAAGAATCCTCCAAGGAAAAACTTTTATTAAATACAAGTCTTCTCTGAATACATACCTTTTCATCGGGTCAAATCGTTTGCTTTTTTTGAAGGCGAACGAGTGGGCATTTGAAGAAAATTTGCCATGTTTCGACAATGTTTAGAGCTGTGCTGTGCCGCCCGGGGAACGCCAGGATAATGTTGTGAAAGGTGCGCGGGCTCTGAAGCTCTTTTAATCTGATGAGAACTCTTATGTTCAAAATGCTGGACTTTACACTTATAGCGAGCCTGTCAAGGTAAACATTTGCACTTATAAGTATATACGGATCAGTCGCTAATTGTAGGTCCACGGAAGACTGCTCCCTCCACCAAAAATCAAATATCAGAATGAAACGGCTTTTGTCAGGTATGAGAAGTGGAGGTAATGACCAATCCATTGGTGTAGGATTCATCCACACAAACTCGTAACAGGACTCCTCGTAGACCACTGCTTGTACCAGCCGAGTGCGATGTATGGGCTGTGTATGCTCTTGTACCCACTTACGAGGCGGGCAGTTTCGATGAAGAGTGCTGCGGTAATTTTTTATTTTAATGTCTTTTCTTTTTGATTTTTGCGAGATTTTTCAGCAACTTTGCTGAGAATTACTACCGGAAGCCAATTCGCGCGGCATTAAGATCGCTGCTCCGGCAGAGATCAAGGTATCTCCGATGCAACGAATCAAAGTAGGACTGTCGCAATTTAACCTCACGTTTAGTTGCTTACACCAAAAAAGGATCTTGAGGAGAGAATGAAAACCGCTGCGAATTGTAATTGCAAGTTCTGTCTCATTGTTACTGCTGACTATAAGTACCGCTCACAGTAGGTGTGTTGTGTTTTTTGAATGCTCATGGACTGCCTTTGAAAGAACTTCGCTATTATATAGCACTTTCAACTGGTGACCATCAGGAAATACCCTCATCATCTTTTTACCACAGACCATTGTTTGTTCTGTTATCTTATCTCTTCTTTTTTTGTGATCTCGGCTAATTTTTTGATGCTGTGTTCGATCTGATTTTGTTCAGTGTATGGGATGTACTTCTGCATGTTTAAGACTATTTTTTCAGAGCAGATTAAGCTTTGGGAAAGGGAACTGGAAATGGTGACACAGAACGTAAAGTTATCGAATGCACTCAAGGTTTCAGTGGTACTTCGTTTACAGAAAACTCACACAATTCTTTTGAAGGTTGGCGAAAGACGGGTTGTTACTCTAGAAAATATAATTCTCAATCGAACCTGAAGTTAGGTGGACTGAACTACGAGATGGACTTGGAGGGAATCTTGCCGCAAGAAGGGGGAAAGTGGGTTTTGTTTTTACCTATAGCTCGAACGATATCTGGACTAGTAAAGAGTCCGGCGTAGAGTTGAATATTCAGAGACTGGATCCGTCCTGTGGCCGTATTCATCAACGAACCCCGAGGGTTAAACTAACCCTGGAGGGTTAATTTAACCCTGGAAAGTGTTTAACCCGTATTCATGAAACAAAGGGTAGGCTTGACCCTGAGGGTTAAATCTAACCTTGAGGGTTAATTTTACCCCGAAAGCGACTAACCCGTATTCATCAACGAATCGTGAGGGTTAAACTAACCCTGGAGGGTTAAAGTTACGTGATTCATCAGGGTTAATTTAACCCTAGCTCAGAGCAGGGTTAACTCTACCCTAACACTTCATAAAAACATTTACTCGCACCTAATAATTCTATGGAAAACGACCAACGATTATTGTAGTGTTTATTTTAGTTGTTGTGATAATATCTAGTTTCGACTTCGTTTTATGTTCAAATTCGAAGTACATGAAACACTGACTTTGCGAGAAAGAGAATTCTAATGGTGACAAATGAATGCGACTAGGAAAAATGGTTGCGCATTCCACTCTGACAAGTGCCAAAACAGAAGAACCCCTTTATAATAACACGCGTTGACCCCTAAAGGAGTAGCACAAGCCCGGTATAAAACGAACTGCGCAAAAGTAGAACTTACACTGCACAGTTGCACGCATGAAAATAAACTCACGCTGTAACATTGGATGCTGCACAGATATGCTAGAGATGTTTTATAAAAAGTAGTGTTAGAAGCTTATTCGTTGACTATGCTACTATAACAGTGAAAGAATAGAAGTATAAAGTGAATTTGGCACGTACTAAGACATTCTGTGATGTGAGTTTGCACAGCGCACGCGTAATTGACGCCTTAACCCTCCAGGGTTAGTTTAACCCTCAGGGTTCGTTGATGAATACGGCCACAGGTTCGTTGATCGATACGGGTGGATCGCGTTATATGGTAAACCCTACCCTATGGTTGATGAATACGGCCAATGAACCCTGAGGGTTAAACTAACCCTGAGGGTAAGTTTAACCCTCAGGGTTCGTTGATGAATACGGCCACTGGTCGTCTTTTCCTAGGAAGTGGAATCAGCCATCCTCCTCCGTCAGCCACCTATGATCCTGAAAAAGGTGCCCCTTCTGTTATTGGAGTGAGTGCTGATCAAAGTCGCCGGGTTCAGCCAGTTGTTGTTCATTCTGTTATAGTACGCTGCAAACTTCAATGCTAATCGCTTCGACATAGTCGGAGATTATCTTTTCCAAAGCTCGAGGAGAGAAGAGGTTAGCTGTCATTCTGTTCTGTCTCATCTACTAGTTCTCGTTACAGACAATCTCTACGATGTCTGAATTAGTCAACAATGTGTTGCCGAAATCTGCCGAAAATCAGTGGCCTTGAGATCTCATAATCTACAGAAGCGGTCGTCAGAGGGCTCCTTCAGCACTGTTAGTCTTGACGATGTGTGAAATAGTCCACTGGCTTTTCTTGCTTAGGTACTCACTCACGAGATACCCCTTCTTCTGCAACTCTTTCTGCTTTGGGTGCTAAGAACATCAAAACTGTCTTTATTGTTGCACAAAAAGAACACAATGTCCGCCTTGTGCTAGATCGTGTAAGTTCCCGTTGAATGGTCTTAATGAATGTGGTGCCTGATCGATGTGTGGTTTACAGATTAAAAGCTCTCGCAAGCCAACCGATCAGATTATCACACTGGAATTGTAGTGGATACCGAACTCACCCATCCTTCTTTTAAAATGTTCTTCCTCAATTCTCATATCACTTTACAGGTGAGACATGTTTTACCATGATGAATTTTTGCTACGATTGCACCAATCCGGGGTCTTCTCGCCACTCCAAGATATATTGTCTTGGTTGACGACCTCAATCTATCTATTTACGAACTGGAAGGGGTGACCTATGTGTTGACATATGGACATCAAACTGTGAATCTCCCTACTTCACTGCCCACCTCGCTTTACGATGCTAATCGATATGCTGAACAGGGCAGGAATACCTATACCGCTCATGCGCTTTTATGTACTGCTAACGATCTTGATCTTTGTTGTGGATGTATGTATATACCAGTAAATATCTCTTGACATTCAAGACAATCTTCGGAATCTAGCCCATCTTATTGAGCTTCGACAGAGTCTATGTCTATGTCTATGGGCGTCTTGCGCACCGCTTCCTACACTCGCACGAAGTTGGCGAATGTTCGTGTCAATGCTTAAGTGATCTACACGTATGTACATGTTCTCCCCATTACATGAGTGCTGCGACATCGCCACCTACGCCATGTCCGTCAAGTTCTTAAACCGTCGGCTGTAGCAATACAGATAATAATGTTCGTTCTGATTTTTGTCGAAAATTATTCAATTTATATGTCCTTTATGCACAAATAATCAAGCATTCTTGCTATCGAATAATCAAGCATTTTTGCTACCCTGTCATTATCTCAGTTTTGGCGTTATATACAGGTATTCGGGTATGCTGCAAGTGCTATATTTACTACTTAGAGTATTTTGACTTCCATTTTTCTTAACGCATTTTTGGTTTTGCAAATGAAGATTGGTTGCTAATTTTGCAGTTTTCCACCTCATCGTTTATAAGATATACACAAGGGATAGGAGAAACACATATAGGTGATGGTGAGATGAACATTTTCTATGCGCGACTAGGGACAGATCTCAATCAAGTTTTGCCGTACTGATGGTAAAGCATCTTGGGAGCAAAGTATAACTGAAATGCGCAAATGGTAAGAATCCAGAGTAGTTGTGGTGAGGTGGATGTACATATCTCATGTGTGGCACTGAATTTCATTGAATAAGAAAACTGACTAGCTTGCCTGAATGGGTTTTTTTATGCGAGTGAGAGAATAAACGCTGTCGGCGCAAACGCAGGGATGGGCAAGGGAGCACTCGGAAGCGACAATACCCGCAAAGAGCAAGCAATGCAAAACTTTTCGCTAGTTTCTTATTGTTAGAAATTTTTATGATGTCAAGTCATGTTTCCGCGCTCTCCCTCCTCCTTCCCCCCCCCCCTAATTAGCCGCCGTTTTCAACTCTTCTCTGCAAAAAATTCCTACTTCACCTTTCGATTCCTTTATATGAAACGATATGTGGAGAAAGAATCAGCTGATTTTTGAGACCTAACGTTAACGGCAAAAAACAGCCCTCGAACGCGGGATTGGGTCTTCCAGCTGAGAGCCGCGCCCATTAGCCACTAGAACATGGACGCTGCATTGTACCCTTGCAGTTCAATGTGTTCTAGCTGCCTTTCTTTATCAGATCGTAAATCAAGGATTGATGTGGGGGGCGGGGGCTGCACGAGCTCGCTTTGAATAAGGCGTAGGACAAAAAACATTGGGTGGAGGTTTTGCGTCTCAGTGTTTTTCCCAAATCAAAGGACGGGTGGATGCTCAAATGTCCTTCTCTGCAAAAAATTCATACTGTACCTTACGATTCTTTTATATGAAATGATTAGAGGATCTGTGGAGAAATCAGCTGTTTTTTGGAGCCAACGTTGGTGGCAAGAAGGAATTCCTGAGTGGGGAATCGAACCCAGGTCTGGCAGCTGAGAGCCTCACCCCTTAGCCACTAGACTTTGGAGACTGCATTGTGACATTGTGATTGTGCGGGCCAATTGCTTTTTTTATCAACTTCAAAGAGGGAACGGGGGGGGGGGTAGGCGGTACGGTAGTCAGGCTGCAACGATTTCCCGGAAAATGGGGGGTATTGGTTTCGATTCTTTGTATATTAGAGGAATCTGTGGAGAAATCAGCTGTTTTTTGGAGCCAACGTTAGTGGCCAAACCATCGCAGTCCTTCATTGGGTGTTGAAGGCATTCTCCACCCTAAGTTGAGGGTCTTGAGCTTTTGGCAGCTTATGATAGTAGGGCCCCTTATCAAGCCACAAGCGCGGCGCAAAATGTCGATTCAGAAGCGAGAAAACTCCGGAATAACGAATATGCACAAGGACAAGACGGCGCCGCCCTCCACATCCATGCCCGCCCATTTTTGCGCGCCCTTCCAATCCGTGTTCCGGAAAGCCGACCTATGCGTTTTCCAGAACGGGGATTGTCGGGGTTTTCGCGGATTCTCGACTTCATATTCTGAATTAGGGACACGAGAATGCCCTGAAACGACAAAAACCTGGAAGTCGAGAATCTGGGTGGACGGTGCCTTTAAAGCAATTGGATTCGGATGAGAGGTGTAAATGTCGACGAATTGATTTCTCAAACTCTGTCTGTGTCTATACGTAGTGCTTAGAAAACTACGGTTTTCCGTAATGCCGCAGAGAAAGATTCAACCGTGATAACGTTTACGACACACAAGGCAGTTGCATCAAAAACGGGGCTTCTATTCCAGACAAGTTGAGAAAATACAAGAAAGCCCTGCGTGGAAGACTTTCTCTGTCCTGATTTTAGCAAGCCTCCTTCGGTACCCTCAAAAAGAGATCAGATGAGGAATAGCTGAAATTAGACAATGTAAAAGTGATGGGTTGAGGCCTACTATTAGGCAGTTGTCTGAGCCATCATCAGAAGAATCATTTCAGAGAAAAGGTTTTAAAAATGGATCTGAAACACTGCGTCGAACACTCATCGAAATAGTTGTCCATCGTTGTCCTATGCATAACGAATTAAAAACCCTAACTTCAACAAAGTACATCCCTGGATACGCAACTTAATGCTTCATTAGGAAAGTACACTACTGACTTTCTAAATGCTTTATTTCCCTCAATCATATTTAACTGAGATGCTTAGGAGCCCAAAGTTTGATGACAACACTTCGACCGGAAAAATCCGTTTCTTTTTTGATGCTTCTGTTCTCGGCTCTCTGAAGGTTCTTAAAAAAAGCGCTGAGCGCAGAGATCAATATTCGGACTGTCTTTTTGATCTCAATAAAAGATCTTCTCCGAACATTCTGGTCTCACTCGCTATTTATTCGCCATAATGGCCGTGCTACCCTGGTCAAATCTTCACAGTCCTGCTGCCCAAAAATTTTTTTCCAAGTAAACGTGCCAAAAGATGCTCACCTGCTCTCTACAGCCCTCCCTCCCATAGTGTCCCTCACCCCTCTATTCTCCACAGGTACCATGCAATTTATATGTTCACGTGTGCCGTTTTACCGCCATCCATAGAGTTCTAAGCCAATCTTCTTTTTCCCTCCCTCCCCACCTCCGTTGATTTCTTACTTTTGCCGAAGAATGTAGGAGTAGAAGAGATGATATTAGGATGATTGAAAAGTTTCTATTAGAACTTTTTGTCAAAGCTTTTTCACTCTGTTCTCTTAAGCAGAATTCTTCAAATACTTCTCTACATTTTTCGGTCCTCGTGTTCTCGAGTTTCTCCCACCAAGATGCCTTTAACGTAAACAAAATTTTTTCAGCGCTCTCCCGAGTTCCTCCAGAACCCTCTCTTTCGCTCCTAAAGTTCCTCTTCGAGAATGTGCATTGTCATTCAAAATTTTTGCCGAAAATCTCCGACCGGTTTTTCTTTTCTGTGGACCTTCGTTTGACCCGCTCTCTTTAGTTTACCCGAAGTGGCCCGAAACCCATTACGCTACCTAAAACGGTCAATTTCTTTAGTATCAAAACCTAAAACTTTGATGGGACAGATCACATCTCTTGCTATAACTTCGGGTTGAAATCGATACATTTTCATAATGTTAAATTGCAGCGAACTGTGAACTTTTAAGCTCTCTAAAGAATGAAAATGATCCTAATGTATGTAACAAAACGTCTCGGAGGGATGGTTTTCACAAATTTTGGTCGTGGTAAGACCAACATGGCAACCACACTTGCATGGGCCTACCTGTTTGCTGACATCGAAATCTGTGAGTGTAGTCTTTGAAGTAGTATAGCTCTGACATTCGGTCCGTGCGGCGCGCGTGCTTCCCGTGCGGCGCCTTGTAGTGCGAGAGGGCCGAACGCTCCGTGCGCGCGGGCCGAACGGTGAATGCGCGAGGGCCGAACGGTGAATGCACGCGGGCCGCACGGTATCGAAAGCGCTCCGTCCGCAAGCTACCAGAGAATAAATCTCTTTCATAGATCTTCTTTTTCTTCTTCCGTCGTGCCTTGAGCATTCTCAACTTCACAGTCCAAAAAAATTCCGAATTCAAAAAATTCGAAAATTTGAATTTGAGTTCACAGAATTCAAAATTCAAATTCGGCATCCATTCGGGACGCTGTCGAGGAATAACCTCCGTAGAAGTAAAAAACTTCTTATGTTCCTGTGATTACTCAAATGCCAAGAAATGGTAGCTAAGTCAGCTCCACAAGTGATGGAGCAGCCTTATCATAGCGTCGTACCTCACGCGGGTACCTATTACGCTTATAGCGTGTGAGAATTGGAGGCGCGGGGCGGCACGGGGAGAATATATTGCGCGCGGGCCGTACGCTAAGGATACAAGGCGCGCGGGCCGCACGGTACATGACCCCGCCCGTAAATCTAGGCGCGCGGGCCGCACTGCTGGCCATTAACAAGCGTGCGCCGCACGCACCGAATGTCAGAGAGTGACGATTGACGAAACTGACTGGTCAGTCTTACCGCCGACTGCGTTGCCAGTATTTCACAGACTGCACTTAATGAAACCGTAAACATCTCGGAAGCATGATTTTCGTATATGGTCGCAATGGCACTCGTACAGTTGTGATGCGAAAGGGCATCTGTACTTATAAACGGTGCGCAGCTCATTTACGAAAACACGACTGCAGTGGCAAGATATCAAAGATCACTGCTGGTTACAAACATCCACGATGAGTCACATGGGGGTGCTTGCGCTTTATAGAGAGTATGATAGTCAAGAAAGAAGTCTCGTTTAGTGAAGCTCATTTTCGGAAATAGAAATGTACACCTTACAACTCGTGCTTTTTCTCTGGACTCGCCCTGCGCATTAGATAACCGAGTAATGTTTCTTGTTCTCGTAAAGCATCCTACGAATGGATGGTAGGAGACGGAGGACGCGCTCGTCCAGAGCTGGAATCCTGTTCCCCGTGTCCCGCATTCATTGCAAACTCCGCAAGGGAAACTACGCCAGGAAAATTGGAGAAGCTGCTCCCGTCTACTTAGCCGCAGTACTGGAGTACATGGTGGCAGAGGTCCTCGCACTGGCCGGAAATGTCGCACGAAACTTCAGGAGAGCAAGGATCAACCCGCGTCACTTACTACTTGGGATCCGGGCGGACGAAGAATTAAATGAGCTTCTATCTAATGTCACAATCCAGGAAGGAGGGGTTCTCCCTAGCAGGGAACTTGAGCCCAAACCTGCGGCTTCGCGAAAATGTGAGTCTCAAGATTTGATATGGTATTTCGTACTATTATTATTTCGCATTTTTGGGGGGACATGGAGCGGATGCATTCATGATTGCTTCTCATATTGTTTCTTTTTCAGAGCCAAATAGGCCAGATCTGTATTTATTGTTTTAACTAACAATGCTAACTCGTTTGGACTTCTAAATATAGTGCCAAAGTGAGTCAGTTTAATTTATTCTGAAGAAGAATGATTGGGCCCCATATTAATCTACAGAGTCGGCGGATTGCCCCAATGTCGGCGGCGGGAAAAGACTCTTTCGCAACAGACACCCGATCAAATCCACAAAATCACGAGGGTATGTGCGAAAAGACCTTTGAAAGAATCCTCCAAGGAAAGACTTTTATTAAATACAAGTTTTCTCTGAATACATACCTTTTCATTCGGGTCAAACGTTTGCTTTTTTTGAAGGCGAACGAGTGGGCATTTGAAAAAAATTTGCCATGTTTCGACAATGTTTAGAGCTGTGCTGTGCCGCCCGGGGAACGCCAGGATAATGTTGTGAAAGGTGCGCGGGCTCTGAAGCTCTTTTAATCTGATGAGAACTCTTATGTTCAAAATGCTGGACTTTACACTTATAGCGAGCCTGTCAAGGTAAACATTTGCACTTGTAAGTATATACGGATCAGTCGCTAATTGTAGGTCCACGGAAGACTGCTCCCTCCACCAAAAAATCAAATATCAGAATGAAACGGCTTTTGTCAGGTATGAGAAGTGGAGGTAATGACCAATCCATTGGTGTAGGATTCATCCACACAAACTCGTAGCAGGACTCCTCGTAGACCACTGCTTGTACCAGCCGAACGCCCGTAAAAGAGCTCGGACCTGGGAGGAGTTGCAGGTGCGCTCCATTGCCATTTCGATTAGAGCACCGTTATTCGACTGGAGCGCACTATCTCCAAACACTTGACGTTTCACAGATTTGAGCCGTTTCTAGATACAGCGATAAGTACATGTATATCCTCTTGCATCCTTTGGTGTCGGATATGATGAAGCTCGCGCAACATCACGTTAACTTACACAGCACCCTAAGTCGAAATTCACTTTCACCAAAGCAAGGAAGTGTACGTAAATAACAGAACTGAGTAAAGCTTATTGATTTTACAGGTGAATTCTTGAACAAATTTCAGTTTCGAAACAGGTGAGGCAGAACAAAGGTGATTGTAACCTTGAGAAACCAGAATTTCATGGACCATATATAGCCTGCACTTACTACACAACATCCAAAGTGAAAGTGTTTATCAACAAAAGCGCAGAATGAAATCATGTTACTCCTGCTCGGAAGAGCATCAACGAATCGCAAAAACCATCTAACAACAGCATTCATATATTGCGGCGAAATTTGTATTCGCTTAGTCAAAATTCACAGAAGAGAATAAACACTTTATTTCCAACTATAGTAGCTCCGCTACTTCGTATATCAGTGAGAAAAAGCGAGCAAATTTACGGATATTGTGCATTACAGTAGCTCTGCTATACCTCGTATATTAGTGAGAGAAGGCGAACAAATTTATGGAAAGGCTTCATGAAAGCAGTAGTTTGCCTGAGAAACGACAAAACACTAAGATCAAAAATGACTAGTACGGCATTTTATAAAGCTGTAAAGCCGACTAAGACATATGTCCATTGAGAAGTGGAAAAGAAACACCACTTACATCTTCAGAGAGGTAGCAAAATCAGAATCTAGGAGGAAAACAAGAACAAAAATTTGAAAAAACGACACTTGTGCCGAATCTTTGTGGAGAAAAAACGGCAGCACTGCTCGGAAGTTAGTGTTTTTCCTGTTTCTTCTTTTCTAGCTTCAATTGGAATCTCTGGAAAAGAATCTATTTAGGAGTGTAGCAACCTAACAATTAACACGCACACTTTTATATGACTGAATTCGCACTGGGGTGGGGCCAGCTCCTGTTGTCTGCATTTCCTGTCGCCTCGCGAAACGATTCTCAAGTGTTTCCAGTGGCAGCTGTCTGATCCCATTTCTCATAACTTCGCTGATTTCTTGAAGGAGGTCAAGCCTTTCATTCTTCGCATACGACTTGATCATTTCTTCAATTTGGTTTTGCAACTGGAAAATTAGTGCTGGTGAAGAAAATGTCAATAGTTTGTAGAGACAAACCCCTTCTGCCTCGTGAAGAGCTTCTCTGATACGGTCCTGTTCGATTATAGTGGCTGGTAGAGTATAGGAAGTATCCGGGTGCGCTTGTGACGTGTCAAAAGAGTTTTCAATTGAACTAAGAGGGGTCCTTGAGGTTGTTTCAGCTGCAGATTCTGTGTCGCAAGCCAAATTGTGCCGTTGAACTGCTCGTACTGTTGCTGTTTTCGAACTTGTAACGCACTTGAGAAAAAGAACAGCGATGGTGAAAAAAACAACAAATGCCGCAAGGCTGCTTCATGAGCACTTCTTTTAAGAAATTAGATATTCAAAAATGATTTACGGCAAACATAAAAAAGAGTTTTTTGTGACTACCTGCAGATTGCTCTCAACGCGATGCCCGTCGGCGCGCATTGCATGGCCATAACTTCACTATGAGACGTCGAATAGTGTGGTGGAGTCGGATAGAAGCGAACGACGATGACGACACTGTAGAAGAAGAAGACGTGGCGTGGTTTGGAGATAACAGTACTCAAAACAAGAGATTCGCTAATGCATATAAAAACTAGTACAAGAGATAAAAAGCGATTACAGCAAGAACAATCATCGCTTACTTATTTGACTCCATATAGTTGTTGACGGAATGACTGAGCCGGACATCCTCTTTCTGAAGTTTGGAAGAAACGGTTGTTTTCATAATCACGCCATTACCAGACTTCTTGCGCTTTCCTGTTGGAAGAGCTCGAACAGTCATCACTCATCTGTGAAAAGGAGACGATAATAAAAGTATAAACGAAGACAGAACAAACAATAAATGCACAGACTGTGATCGTGGAGTCGAATGGAGCATGATCAGATGCAAGGATGCAAGAGGATATACATGTAGTTATCGCTGTATCTAGAAACGGCTCAAATCTGTGAAACGTGAAGTGTTTGGAGATAGTGCGCTCCAGTCGAATAACGGTGCTCTAATCGAAATGGCAATGGAGCGCATCTGCAACTCCTCCCAGGTCCGAGCTCTTTTACGGGCGTTCGTACCAGCCGAGTGCGATGTATGGGCTGTGTATGCTCTTGTACCCACTTACGAGGCGGGCAGATTCGATGAAGAGTGCTGCGGTAATTTTTTATTTTAATGTCTTTTCTTTTTGATTTTTGCGAGATTTTTCAGCAACTTTGCTGAGAATTACTACCGGAAGCCAATTCGCGCGGCACTGAGATCGCTGCTCCGGCAGAGATCAAGGTATTTCCGATGCAACGAATCAAAGTAGGATTGTCGAAATTTAACTTCACGTTTAGTTGCTTTCATCAGAAAAGGATCTTGAGGAGAGAATGAAAACCGCTGCGTATCGTAATTGCAAGTTCTGTCTCATTGTTACTGCTGACTATAAGCACCGCTCACAGTAGGTTTGTTGTGTTTTTGAAATGCTCATGGACTGCCTTTGAAAGAGCTTCGCTATTATATTGCACTTTCAACTGGTGACCATCAGGAAACGCCCTCATCATCTTTTTACCACAGACCATTGTTTGTCCTGTTATCTTATCTCTTCTTTTTTTTTGTGATCTCGGCTAATGTTTTGATGCTGTGTTCGATCTGATTTTGTTCAGTGTATGGGATGTACTTCTGCATGTTTATGACTATTTTTTCAGAGCAGATTAAGCTTTGGGAAAGGGAACTGGAAATGGTGACACAGAACGTGAAGTTATCGAATGCACTCAAGGTTTCAGTGGTACTTCGTTTACAGAAAACTCACACATTCTTTTGAAGGTTGGCGAAAGACGCGTTGTTACTCTAGAAAGTATAATTCTCAAGTCGAACCTGAAGTTAGGTGGACTGAACTACGAGAGACTTGGATGGAATCTTGCCGCAAGAAGGGGCAAAGTGGGTTTTGTTTTTACCTATAGCTCGAACGATATCTGGACCAGTAAAGAGTCCGGCGTAGAGTTGAATATTCAGAGACTGGATCCGTCCTGGTCGTCTTTTCCTAGGAATTGGAGTCAGTCATCCTTCCCCGTCAGCCACCTATGATCCTGAAAAAGGTGCCCCTTCTGTTATTGGAGTGAGTACTGATCAAAGTCGCCGGGCTCAGCCAGTTGTTGTTCATTCTGTTATAGTACGCTGCAAACTTCAAGGCCAATCGCTTCGACACAGTCGGAGATTATCTTTTCCAAAGCTCGAGGAGAGAAGGTTAGCTGTCATTCTGTTCTGTCTCATCTACTAGTTCTCGTTACAGGCAATCTCTACGATGTCTGAAAGTAGTCAACAATGTGTTGCCAAAATCTGCCGAAAATCACGATAAGAAGTGGCCTTGAGATCTCATAATCTACAGAAGCGGTCTGTCAGAGGGCTCCTTCAGCACTGTTAGTCTTGACGATGTGTAAATAGTCCACTGGCTTTTCTTGCTTAGGTACTCACTCACGAGATACCCCTTCTTCTGCAACTCTTTCTGCTTTGGGTGCTAAGAACATCAAAACTGTCTTTATTGTTGCACAAAAAGAACACAATGTCCGCCTTGTGCTAGATCGTGTAAGTTCCCGTTGAATGGTCTTAATGAATGTGGTGCCTGATCGATGTGTGGTTTACAGATTGAACGCTCTCGCAAGCCAACCGATCAGATTATCACACTGGAATTGTAGTGGATACCGAACTCACCCATCCTTCTTTTAAAATGTTCTTCCTCAATTCTCATATCACTTTACAGGTGAGAAATGTTTTACCATGATGAATTTTTGCTACGATTGCACCAATCCGGGTCTTCTCGCCACTCCAAGATATATTGTCTTGGTTGACGACCTCAATCTATCTATTTACGAACTGGAAGGGGTGACCTATGTGTTGACATATGGACATCAAACTGTGAATCTCCCTACTTCACTGCCCACCTCGCTTTACGATGCTAATCGATATGCTGAACAGGGCAGGAATACAGGATTGTAAAAGTCAAACCAACATCGTTTTTGACTTAGGCGTCATAAAACAAAAAGTGCGTAAGAACCGCAGAGTACGGACGTTACATTTAATTTGACGCCTATCATCAGAAAAATGAGAATTCCTTATTTTTGAACGTGTTTTCGACAACGTCTTTTTGACTCGACTGCATTATAGAACCGAACGGGTCATCGACTTGGTACAGTGGTCAAAACCAAGCGTAACTGCAGAAACTTCGCTAAGAAAAATTTACTGAGTTTGTCTCTCGCCAACCACGGAAACCAGGGTAGCCCGCAGTGCTACGCTAAAACTGAGATTTCAAAAAGTACTCCAAAGTGAAGTTCAGTGATCACAATGAACCAATCACGGCTAAAATTGGGATTTACATGTTTTCGAGGTTCCTTTTTCAGTAACAATGTCTGTTTGCTGAAAGCTGATAGTGAGATTTCAAATGCTAAAAGTGAGGTTTCAAAAAAGTATTCCAGGTTGAAGTTCAGGAATTTCAGTGGACCATTCATGGCCAGAATTGGGATTTATACGTTTTCGATCTTTTTCTAGCTATGGTTGTTCGCAAAAACAAAAAACAAGAAGCATTATTTCAAACAACTTTTCAAAATCCAAGTTCAATTTCAGCAAAATGTTCAAGGTGAAGGTTAAATAATGAGCTCACGCCAAAATCATAAGTTCTTTTATTTCGATATTCGTACACATAATATGCATACGACATCACTGACCTCGCAATAACAGGTGCACCGCTTGTAGCCAACAAGACGGTAAATAAGTTTTGCTTGACAACGGATCTATGGGTAATCATAAGGCATCTCCAAAATACCAGTCAACTGATTATGTATACATGAGATACAGGTCATAACTTTTGTGCGCCTGCGGCATTTTACCCGAAGAAAACCTTTGTGCCGACTCGTCGGCACCTTCCTTACAACCATATCGTTACTCCTGCTAAGCACCGTAAAGTTCATGCCATAAGCATGACCTGCTGTGATATGAGTGTATTATTGCCCAGATGTTTGTGATACTACTTTACCACGCCTCCAATCCTCAGCATTCTACCACTGCACGAATGGGTGCATGTCGTCTGTTCAATAAAGCTCTAACAGCTTACGTGTTCTGATAACACATCAGGAGCCATCATACTCCACTACAGGCGCCACCCATCCGCCTAAGGATACAATAAAGCCTACAGCCACCACATTTATGGTGCATCGGCCAAATACGCAAGGCCGATCATACTCGCCTCAGCTACACAGGGGTTAGCTACTCTAACTCTGGGACCTAGCGCCCTAAATCCGCTGCCTCGCACCTAGCGACAGCCATTCGCCTCCGCATCAGGGACTGAATCTTTCCAATTTTCGCTCAAAATTAGCGAACGGCTCAAAAAGCAGCCATATCTTCCTAACAATTTTTGAACATCAAAATGTCTCTAAATTTTTTCAAAGAGGCAATCTCATTTCACTCAAGAGCATTGGCAAATCTGCTCGAAAAATTTGACTCCTACAACTTCAAGCTCAAATTCACTTTAGAAATTGATAGAGAGCTTCAAAAGAAATGTTTCGAAAACTTAGATATTCTCCTTTCTTGCCTTTCACAAGTTAAAGCAAGAACGACAGTTTTGGACTCAATAGTCGACCAGTTTGGAGAATTTATCTCAAGCAGTCTAAAAGCGAGAGACAAACTGTCATACTCCAGCTAGAAGAGCTTGAAAAAAAGCTTGACTTTCACCAGTTGCTTTCTAATGCTAATGTTTTTACTATCGCTGTGGAATATCAGATAGTATATGCAAAAACATACAAGAATTTTGTATCAAGTCAAGTAGTCAAAAGACAGCAATCCAGCTTGCTTCGCCGTTTCATATTTGACGCTGAAAGAGAGTTCGACAGTGTAGCAGTGATGAGCGAAACTCCTGCGACCGTAGAAAACGGCAACGAAAATGAGGAGCGTGAACACTATTCTGAAGACTGTGGAGTTGTGGCTTGTGGAGGTGCCATGGATGACAAAACATCAGCAATTCGCGATGGACATGATAGCCTGACGTCACCGACTATGCCTGATGCGAGTCAACTCAAGGACAACGATCTCAAGAGACGGTACAAGAATGCAAAGCGACAACTTGAGAACAGTAAGAGGAAGAACCAATTTTATATTCCTAAATCTATATTTTCGTCTCCCAATGCGGATTCGCTCCGTCGTAATGATCTACATTATTCTGCCTTTTCACCATCTACTTCTTCGCCACCTCATGTCAGCTGTCACGACCACATCAGCCACAATTCCACCCCCATCAATCTGACTCCTCAAGGACGTCCACTACGGTATCCTGATAAGTACTGGATCTATACATTTGCTTACGTTAATTGTGTATGTTTATGTGCTGCCCATTCGCTGTTTCTCATTTACTTCTACCGCTGGCCGGAGTGTGCCGACTTGTCGGCACCTTTCTTATAACCATATCATTACTCCTGCTAAGCACTGCGAAGGTCATGCCATAAGCATGACCTGCTGTGATATGAGTGTGTTATCGCCCAGATGTTTGTGATACTACATTACCACGCCTTCAATCCTCAGCATTCTACCACTGCACGAATGGGTGCATGTCGTCTGTTCAATAAAGCTCTAACAGCTTACGTGTTCTGATAACACATCAGGAGCCATCATACTCCACTACAGGCGCCACCCATCCGCCTAAGGATACAATAAAGCCTACAGCCACCACATTTTTGGTGCATCGGCCAAACTATCGCCGTATTTGAGGTTGATCTACTCGACCTTGGGACTCAGCTAGCCCTAAATTTACAAGCCTTTGTTTGTCACACTTTCCCAACTCAAAAGCAGTTGGAAATTTTTGTGTTAGAGCCAAATAATCAAAAATGTCTCTATATTTTCACAAAAAAGCCATCCGTACCAGTTCGTCCAGACTGTCAGAGCTTCTCAAAACGTACGAAGCTAATGGACACGGAAAAAAGGTCGACTACCCAGAGGACGATCAGGAACGGCATGATAAATGCGCAGCAAACTTGATATCATTAGCTGAGTGCCTAGACGAGGTAAAGGAGTATACGGAAACGCTCGAGAGCAAAGTTGACAGTATGGAGCAAGTTTTCATGGGTATCAAATCCAAAACTGAGCAAAAAGAATGGATTGCGGAGATTGAAGAGTTTGAAAAAGAATCGGAATATTCTAAAATTCTTAACGAGTCCGCCAATTTCGTGCTCAGGGTTAAAACTCAGATCACAGACGCAAAAATAAAATTACAACAGGTACAATGTAAATTGAAAATCCCTGTCCACGTAGAACCTTCCGGTCAAAATGTTCAGGAAGACGTGGCAAGTGAGTCTTCCAGTCAAAACGTTCAGGAAGACGAACCAGGAGAGTCTAGTACGATTAGCAATGAGTCTGCTAACACGCAAACATTGCCAGTTAGAAAAACACGTACTATTAAAGCGCCATCAGTCGCATTACCGACATTTAGTGGTAGCCAGGAAGAATTTCCAGAATATTGGGCCGTCTTTGAGACGCTCATACATGAAAATGACGAGTTATCTACAGTCGAAAAAATCGTACATCTCAGAGAAAGTTTGCAAGGAGCAGCTGAGAAAGCCATTCGAGGCATCAAGCCGGTTCCAGCCAATTACGACTGGATGGTCGATACTGTAACGAAACGCTTTGGTAATAAAACTACGAACAGGTCCAAAATTGTGCAGAAACTGTTCGAGCTCAGGTCCGCAAATCAAAAGGCGGAGAGCTGCCAGGAGTGTTTCGACTCCATAAAAACACTTGTCAATCAGATGGTGTCCGCGGGCTACGACATTCGTCCTATGTGTGACCCCATGTGGACGGAGACCATCCTCAAAAAATTTCCTTACGAAATTGTCAAGGACATACTGGTGAAAAATCAGGCGACCGATACAATGAAAGTCGAGGACCTGTTAGAAGCCTTGGACAGGGAAATTTCAGCCAAGGCCTATGTGGAGCTACGCCTCGGTACTACCAGTACTGATTCACACGGGTCACATCCTCAAGATCGTCGCCCGAACTTACCAGCTGACTGCATTTTCTGCGGCAAGTCGAACCACCAGGCCGCTATGTGCAGGTCTATCGTCGACCGGCAAAAACGCCGGGACATTCTCAAACAGCAGAGAAGGTGTTGGAAATGTTTCCAAAACTCGCATTCCAGCAGCAGCTGCAAATCGGCGGACTGCTCCAGATGCGGACGCGCTCATCATGCGTCCGTCTGCCTTTCTTCGGGATATCCGGGTCCCTCCGCGTTGAGCCAGCCGCACGCATCCAAGTGGTCGAAAAATGAAACCACCCAAAATCGTTTTAACAACAGTTTTCCTGTTAGGAATACACAACCCACTAACAGACAAGCGTATTCTGGAAATGATATACGACGCCGGCAGCAAAGCGCTAATCAACCGCTTGCTTCAAACCAAAACATCCAAAATGAAAACTGCATGCCTTCTGCACATAGAAAAAGCGAGCAGCTCGTCCTCATGACAGCTGAAGGAAATGTTTGGAACCACAAAGCGCACAGTTTTGAAAAAGCTTTGTTTTTTTTTGACACTGGAGCTCAAAAAACGGTAATTGAAGAGGCTCTTTCGGAAAAACTCGGATTGCCACGCATTACATCCGAGACTTGCATCATGTCGGGTATTGGTGGACATACCGAAAAGTTTGAAAGCCACTTAGTGGCCCTTAAAGTTGGCACAGCGTATGGCAGAGAAATAGATATGACCATACAAACAAAGCCAATCATAA